TAGGCTATTTGGAACCATAATTCTGCACTTGGAGGCACCCACTATGTACTGCAGCCTCATTGTATATTTTTGTTTCAAAAATCTGACACTGCACACTAGATCCTGGATATTAGCCAAGTTTGGGGCTCAAGCACCCAGAACCATTTCTTCAAAAAACTAAAATGCCTGTTAGTATTTGCTAAAAGGTGATGAAGAGAAACAAAAATACAGAATTGTCTCCCATTTGGTCCTACAACAACAATTTGTATTCATATAGGGCCCTTCACGTGGGGTAGCATCCCGCAGTATTTCAAGGGAAACCTGCAAGTGATGCTTCTGAATGGCAGACATTTCAAACTGTAATTATAAAAATAGCTCCTAAACCTGTTCTTAAAATGTTACTCAGAACTTGCATAGCAGTTATAACTAAATTCTTAACTAATCCCATGTTTAAAATTGTTTGTGCTCATCGGGTACTAGTTAATAATGGGAGGATTAAAAAGAACATGTTCATTTTTCAGGCGTCTATCAAACACTAAGTGTGGTATTGTAAAAACCAGTGCTAATTATAAACATTCCTGAGAAGAACTCTTTCTCACCTCCGCCCCCCCACCCCGCCATACTGCTCTGGTGTGAGATTTCCCACATAAGTCAACCAATATCTCTTTTGAATCCCATTAATCTAAGGTGATCTGTCTGAAATGAAACTAGTGTGCTGATCCATTCCCCGTGTAAGAATATCTTTAAAATTTCCAGATGCCTCCTGGATTGTGTTGAATCAACTAATCTGTCTGTTTTCAGTACCCTAAGGTAGGGAGGGGAAGCTTCAAAATAGCAGTCAGACTAATAACCCGTAACTGCTGATATGCTAGTTTGTGCATATACGTAGGTGTTGGATCCTAACTAGATAGTACTCCGCTGTCCTTTGTTGTCAGAATGATATGGTAATATTGGTTAACACCTTCCGACACTTTTACTGTAGGTTGACTGATGACTAATGAAATCAGCCAAATCATCTTCAATTGATTTAATTGATTTAACACAATCCAATGAATAATGGCCAAATGGTTGAGACACCATAATGCTGCCGCCCCAACCAAAACTGTATCCCAGCAAGAGTTAGTGCTTTAAGCAAAAGAGAAAATTGGCAATAGTGTACTTTGGGCACTCTACACAATGGGAACAATGGATCATCCAGTGAATTAAATTTGTGAGGAAGATAGAAACCTACTAAAATATCTAGTTCTATCACTAGTGGAATATACTGGATATTTCATTTCTAAAAGGAAAAAAGGTCCTCTATGGGTGGGGTTGGAATACCATTCACACTCCTCTTCACAAATCACATGAATCTGCCCCCATTACTTGTTCCCTCTAAGTATTTCCCTGTTGCCTTGCCTGTCGTTCTCAATCCCCACCTCCTCCAGTCCTCTCTCCAGCCTTGGTACTAAACATCAGTAAAATCAGTGCAGCTATCCATTGGTGTAGATGCACTCATAGTTGTCTACTTCAACCTGTCTGAGCAGAGTGGGTGTTGGGGTGAGGATTTCATTTCTGGTGGCAGCAGCAGTGTAAACAGAGACTGACTGGGTGATTCTGGATTTGAATACAAAGTCACTTGTGCATGTTAAAACTTGCGTGCACATATTTGCCAGCACTTATCTATCAAATTCATCTTTTAAGGATCAGTGTGCATTAGTTGGGAGTCTTTTTATCAAACATGCAAATGTTGTTTCGCCCACAAAACATACAATTTACAGTATATTCTGTGAAGCTCTTTGAGACGTCTAGAAGACGTGATAACACGCTATATCAAATGCAAGGATTATTACATTATATAAACCTAGGGAGGTTATTTTACTTTAACCTTTTTAAACATTGCAGCTAGTTATACGAAAACAATTTCCATCCCTTTTAGTGACTTAAACAAAGAATCTGTAGGAGACGATTTCATCTCTGTTGGTTGTAAAGAAAGCACACTAAAATTTCACTGTAGAGAGATCTGTCTTTCAAAAGTTGAGTCAATTAAACTAAGCAGGAAAATGACGCATTTGTTCCAAGCAGGATAGGTGGAGCTTACCATGGGTGGTGACTGATTCATGGTATCCTAGTCAGGCTGTTGTGTTTAACCACAAAGTGAATAGGCTCAGACATTGTCGAATTAATAGCAGAACTAAGGATACAGACTTTCTCCCTATTTCCCAAGATATTGTCAACATTATAGGAGTTTTGCAACAGTGCAATAATGAACAATACATGCTTGTGTTTTAAATTATGAAGTATGATCCAAGACTGTAAAATCTACAAATTTGTCAGCAAATAAGAGCTCTGATGAAATTGTTGCTTTTTCTATTCTATTGATGGTGATGATGTGTTCTGTGCAAATCCTGCATTGAATACAATAAAATTTACATTTATATAATGCCTTTCATATCAGGAGGAGATCTCAAAGCGCTTCAAACAACAATATTTAATGATTTATCTGTTGTACATTGCCAAGGGCATCTTGAAGGTTGTTTCATGGTAATGAAATGTTCTGTGCAAATCCTGTATTGAATACAATAGAATTTATATTTATATAACACCTTTCATATCAGGAGGATATCAAAGTCTTGTAATGCAGATGCTAACATGTTAAATTCTAATATTGGCAAAATCATTGTTCCTTGACTGTAAGAGTCCCAAAGAGTTTTTTCCACTTCAGAAATCATGGAATCAGTGAGTGGTTGCTTGGAATGTATGTAGGATGTTTGTTTTTCTCTCCAGTGAAGGATTTTTACTGTAAGAATTAATTAACGACTTGGGGAGGGGAGGAATTTGAGGGGCCAAATGCCTGAAAGCTTTCTTTGGTTTTCTTTGGAGCTAGAGACTAAAACGTATTTCTGTGTGCTAGTTTTGAAGTTGACAAAACATTGAAGTAGTATAAACAACTAGTATAATAGTTAGTTCCGGTTGTCTTGAAGCTAAATTTGCCCTTCCATTGCTTTTTTTTCTCTCTAGCAAAAACTGACTAGTTTTAACCTCAGTAAGTTGGTATTACAATTCTGTACATTTTATGCATTTGTTGGAGCTGCAAGCTACTGTATTAACTAAGATTGTGAAACTATACTATCCAAAAAAAACTTCTCTATAATCTGTTGAAGCCTACGTATGTATACAGTACTTGACCAAACACTCTTAGTGTGCTGCATGGAAACTCTTTGCAGTTCCTAACAGAACAATTCCAGTTGCAGCAGCCAAATACCAGCTCATTTCCTCCATCTGCTTCAATAAAAATTGAATAATTTTTTGGTTCACAAGCTGGAAAAAACATACAATCCTCAGTTGGTCAGTTGCAATATTGAACTCTCCTTCAATATCTATAGTATTTTTCCTTTGGGGCCCCAAGAATTTTCCACGTCACATGATTGCTTCTTGGCTGCTGTTAACATTCCCCAGCAATTCAAACAAGTGGTTTAATGGCATATTTGTATTAAAAGTTTACCAATGGTGGATCCAAAGTTGTTTGCAACCTCAATGCTTGATCTATTGTAAACAGCACCCCCACCAAAAGAGACTGATTTTATCCATGGCTCTGGAAAAGCAACTTGACATTGTACGGAGGTGATTGTAGATTTTACTGTTTGACGTGCTGAATGGCTGTTATTGTACCAGCCAAATTGCTTGCCCTCACTTGCCTTCTCCAACCACTGGATTGTTATTGGCTCCAATAAAATCATTCCAACTTTTAAAGCCATCCATTATGCAGTTACAGCTGTTATCCAAGGTGGATTGTCACTACAAGCAATTATGTCTAACATGAGATCAAAGACTTCACTTTTCGACCGTGCATTCGTTTTTTTTATTTTCTCCCTCTCATCTAGTTCAGTTGCACAACCAGCTAAAGAAAGCACTTTGAGTTTCTTCTTGACATGAAAGACTCCATATAAATGTAATTTGTATTGTATCAAAATATCCTGCAATGAAAATTGGTTGGTTTCTTTAGAGTGAATAGTGTGGCATCTCGGATGACGTGAGCACTTCAGAATACTTATCAGCAGGAGTGGAATTCAGATCCACAGAAGAAGCTACACATTAGCTATAGTTATACTGATCCATGTTGCAACTAAAATTGATCTTGCTTTTGTTAGTTTGAGGTGTGTTTTAGCAAAGAGGTACTTTTAAAGCAATTTCAATAAGTGCAGATTCCATTTGTTCTGAATAGTTGATTCATATCCTGTTGGGCTGCAATAAAATTGCTCCAGAAGCAGCCACTGCATCTTACAAGGCGGGTCTTCACTAATCAGCAAGTGCATTCAACAGGCAGTGTGTGATTTTCCTTGATATTGCATACCCATGCTAACAGAACTTTTTTTTGTTATCTTGCAAGCAAATGATAGCAACCACTCAAAAGGAGCCAAGAGGCTTACAGAAGGGGTCTTTGCTGCTATATCTTACTTACACAGACCTCTGCAATGTAGATTGGTTAAACCCGAGCATCATGTGTATACTATCCAACATCTGATAGTGAACAGCTGATATAGAACACCTGGCACCTCTCCCGCCATCCCCTTGATATACATGATAAATTATTGTGATAAAATAAATAAGAAAACCACGGCTGGATAAGTATTTAAGGTGACGCACTGAACTGAAAATACCTGGAGTTGCTTTTGCTGCTGTGAATTCTTGGCTTCTTTTGATAATTACAGGAAAGCTTTCATTTCACAATTTTCTGGCCATTCAGCAGTGGAAAAGAAGAATTACAAATTTCACAACTGTGGATTTTTCAGTCAGAAACAATATCACGAGAGGACAGGAAAATTGTATGGTTGAAGCAAAATAGCGAAGCACTACCCCTCCTATGTTCAATGAGAAATGCGTCAATTTTATCCTTTTTGTATGGCTTTTTTTTTAGCTTATCCTCCCTGCCCTTTGATTAATTGTTTAGGTGGGTTTCTTGTGGATTTGGAACCATCTTCCTGTCTGTTCAAAAACAGTGTCTTAATTGCTCATTATTTTCTTTTTTGATTTTGTTTTAGATTTCTTGGCTCTGCAAACATTTCCTTGCGGGAGCTTGCAAGTGGCCAAGCTCGAACAACGCCATTCAAGAATGTGCCGTTGCTCAGTGAAAAGAAACAGCCAACTGGGGTAAGAATTATAAATTGCATATGTCCTCTTTTTTGTAGGAATAATGGGTGGTGGTCTTTCTGATCCTTTAGAACAGTTTATACTAGACTATTGAGTCTTTTGAGTCACTTCATCTACACTAGGAAGTTTCATAAAGAATTAGTACCGCAATTGGATCTCGGCATTGTGGCTTCTAAATTCATATTGGTATTAAAATTTGTTGGTCGGTGCCCACATCTATAAGAAGTAATGAGATCCATTATTCATGACTTAATAATAATAATAATCCTTGCATTTGATATAGCGCTTTTCACATCTTCTAGACGTCCCAAAGTGCTTCACAGAATATACTGTAAAGTGAATTGACTGTATATTTGTGGGCGAACACGGCAGCCAATTGCGCACAGCAATATCCTACAGTCAGTCGTGGATTGAAAATGACCAATTTATTATTTATTTTTTTGGAGGGATTATTATTAGGCGTGTGGAGTAAGGAAACTTGCTCAAGGTTTCGCCCTGCCTGGAATTGAACTCAGGTCTTAAGCATGAGTATACTCCATATATAGTGTAGTTCATGAATGCATTTTCACGATCAAGATACAAATGATCAATGAAGTCAGTATGGCTGCTCGCAGTTTTCTGGGACCTGTTTTAATCACTGCTGCTTATGCAAGTCCAAAAAGAGAGTAAAAGGATGTGGGATAACAAATATCAAATGAGGACCACTGTCAACCATTGTTTAATTATAGATCTGCTTCCAACTGCAGATGCCGGTGGTGGCTGCACACTGCAACAGCACTTAGAATTTAAAATCTGTTGCTTGTAATTTAGAGGCATTTGAGATATTACTGTGTGCAATATTTGCTGTTATGTTTGCCTACAGTCACTACATTTTACAGTAAAACTCTCAAGCACTTGAGGATGTGATTAGGCACTGTATAAAATGCAAAGATTATCATTATTAATTCATGAAACCTCTCTGTGCCAATTTTGTAATTTCGTCAGCCCACAGCAGTGCAAATCCAAGTCCCCTGATGAATCACGAGAATGAAATAGTGAATCATTAAGGTGGAACTTAATACCATATCCTTGCACAATGTTTAACTAAGGTTGAGTTTAACCTAGTATACTATTCTGGCTGAGTGCAGGATTATATGATTTTTATCCTTTTGTGTTTGCATAAAAATAGCTTCAGGGTAAAAGTGTGGTTCATGAATGCAGTTTTGAAGCTCAATTATTGTCTAACTCTAATAACGAGAAACGAGAAAAAAAATGCAGAAAAGAATTTCAGATAGATTTATTAGTTTTCATGAAGACATTTCAATGTGCTGAGGTGCTGTAAAATGCAAGTTTTGTGTTTTACTCTCCCTAACCCAAACACACACTTTTCTATGAGGTATTTTCTATGAACATAATTGGCTGGTTGGGGTAAGTGGTTAATCTCATGTTTTTGGCCTACGATTTTCCCCCAAGATGACTATAAGCTTGACAGCCTCGTATGAGCCACCGGCTGGATCAGGACCTCCTGAGGCTACAGGTTCCAATGCTCCCGGTGAAGCAGGTATGTTTTATTTAATCTGTACTTGGATGCCTTCATTAACGCTCATTGTGGGCAGGGTGCCACATTTAGGAAGGAACAGTCAGAACATTCGGTCAATGCTTCATGGCTGCAATGCTTATCCACCAAAAAATCACTACTCAACAGTAAGCACTTTGAGATGTTTTGATGTGTTAAGGTGCTATGCTAAATACATTCTCCTTAACATGCTCAATTAGTGTTACTGTTAGTTTACTCTGGTACTTGTTTCATTATTAGAACTTTCCAGGACTCTGTTCTCTGCCATCATTCCTCTTCCATTGCTCATCCTTTACTCAGTCGATCTTCATAAACTCCCTGCAGGAAACAATAACATGAATTAGTTGTGCCAAATGGTCAGGTTCCACGCTGTGCAATCTCTCAATCAAATTAAACCTGAACAGCTCCAAGCCCTTTGAGGGGTAGTAAATCTTTTTCATTCAGTTATTTGGCCCATATCTTGAAAGTCTAACTTGCCAATTAGCATCCCTTAAATTAGTAATGGTCAACCTTTATGGTTTATATGGTAAACCATACACATGGTTTTAAATGTGTTGTGTCGTGCTCTGTCTTTCTGCATTTCAAAGGTTAGCAGCTGACAAAATTCAGCAGGTGAAATGTGATGCCTTCCCTATTCGGTGTGTCAGCTTTGTGCACTCAAGTTTGCCTGCAACTGAAGCGCTTTGGGACGTCCTCCCGACGTGAAAAGCGCTATATCAAATGCAAGAATTATTATTATTATTATAACTGACTTCTCCCCAAAAACAGTAACTCAACAAATGGTATTAAAGCAACTGAGTGACTTAATTCTATTAGATTTCTCTAATGCACCCAACAAACATGAGACAAGTGGGATATAAAGATAACATGTGGCTATTTGCTCTTCAGATTTGTGAAATCGTATGCCATGTTTTGTTCATTGGGAGAAATTGAGGATCCAAAAGAGATGCTAAATTTAAAGATCAAAATCAATTTTGATATGATCTTTATCAATAAACTTCAATTTTGGAGCACAGCTCCCTGTGTATTGAGAGTGGTGCAGAACATTTGCCCACTCTATGACCGTTGATGTGGCAGCAGTGAAGACTTTAAAATGAAAAACTGAAGGGAGGAGCAGCAAAAAATGGCTTCTAGATTTTTGGTCAATATTTAACTTATTTGTCAATATGTATCTGATGCTATGATTCCACATTCAGTTCTTAATTCAAGTATAAATAAAAGTTCAGTTCTTAATTCAAGTATAAATAATTCAGTTCTTAATTCAAGTATAAATAAAAGTAATGTCACAAGGAAACTGAGTCAATGTTTATCTTCCGTGGACAATGGCTTTGACGAAACACTAATTGAGTGAAATGATGGGTGTGGGTAAATCTCCCAATAAAATGCCTCAGCCCCTACATTCAAAGAGTCCGAAGTGCAAAACTTTCTGTTCTATGATTTTCTGCCCAAACCATTCACACTCGCTCAATGATATTGCAGATTTAATGCTGACAAGGCCTCTGATCACGACCAATAGACTGAAAGTTACTTGTTGACACCAGAGACAAGGCCTAAATTCTCTAGTCATTATGACACCAAATACACACGCACAGAACTGGTGATTTGTTCAATTGTTATAGTCATCTGCACCAAAATATCTGGTTCCATAATTAGAATGATATATCTCTTCCTAAATGCCAACTTCCTTGAATTCCTGTTCTCCAATTCTTTTTATATAGAAGCTGCAGAATGTGGGTGTGGGATAGTGATAAAGCATTATTATCTTCCTTGCATTCTCACTTATTGAGCTGTCTCCTATTCTACAAATACAGAACTGGTGATTTGATCAATTTTTAAAGTCATGTGCACCAAAGTAGTCTGTCTGGTCCTATAATTAGAGTGATATATCTCTTCGTAAATGCCAACTTCCTTAAATTCCTGTGCTTCAATTCTTTTTATATAGAAGCTGCAGAATTTGGGTGTGGGATAATAATAATAATAATATAATAATCCTTGCATTTGATATAGCGCTTTTCACGTCGGGAGGACGTCCCAAAGCGCTTCACAGAACACACTGTAAAGTGAATTGACTGTATATTTGTGGGCGCACAGCAATGTCCCACAAACAGTCGTAGATTGAAAATGACCAATTTATTATTGTTTTTGGTTTTGGAGGGATTATTATTAGGCGTGTGGAGTAAGGAAACTTGCCCAAGGTTTCACCCTGCCTGGAATTGAACTCCGGTCTCTCGCTTGCAAAGCGAGTGCTCTAACCACTGAGCTACAAGACTCCACATAGTGATAAAGCATTATTGTCTTCCTTACATTCTCACTTATTGGGCTGTCTCCTATTCTAACACTATTATTTTCCCTCATATGTCTCTTAATGGTGTCCTGTTTTCTTACTGGACAGAAAACAAGAGGCCAAAGACAGAAATCCAGTAGTGGTAACAGCTCATTTGTGCTTTATGATGTCTCAAAGATGTGATAAGTGCTATATCAAGTGCAAGGATTATTATTATTATTTTATGAAGGCCCAGAAATACATGGAACAAAATCTCTCAAGGGTCAAACATAGAGCAAATTGGTTGCAGATATCTGTATTCTTCTAGATTGATTCATTGTTTTAATTGAAACTACATGGTAATTCCAGAGGGAGATGGGGATGAGGATGTGGATGAAGATGAAGATGCAGATGATGGGGCAGTGGCTGGTAACATTCCAGGCGTGCCAGCTCAGCCAGGTGTACCACCCACCAGACGATTTAAGAAGAGAAAGAAGAGCAAGATTCTTTCAAACAAACCTCAAGACTTCCAGGTACATATTGGACTAATAGCGATGTGGATTAGGAAAGTGCCAGATTTGATCTCTGGAATGCACTGTGTTTGCTGATCTGAGCCAAGTAGCAGAAGTGCTGTAACAGGCTTGAGCTGAACAGTCAGCTAGTGTTCACATTCCTGATTACTGCCACTGGTGCTGTGGGTGTGGGATGTTGGGCACAATCAACTTCCACTTTAATCCTTTCCCTTCCCAATCTTTGGAAGAGCTATCAACACCTAGGCAGAAGGGAGACTTGGGGGCCCCTACAAGGGAAGAAAAATACCTTCAGATGTAGAGTGAAGAAAGAATGCTGAAGCAGAGATCTCTTAGGATGAAGACTGTTTTATATACTTTCCATTCATTGAGAAAAATCTGAAATTTCTTACTATGCAATTGATTTTGTTTTACTGGTGAACTTACTTGTGATCTAATTCACTACTTAGCTTCTATTTATAGAAATATCTATTTTAAAATGCATTTAAGTGATGAATATAAATCATCCGATAAGTGGTTATATTTTATACCACCTCAGTAATACGATTCCATTTTATAAAGCAAAGAACTGTTTCATTAAGTCAGAAATCAATTGTTGTTCCAATTTTTTTAAAGCCAGCTATTCAGCTTGTCAGGTTGTCTTCATTGCGTAATTTGCCCTCTCTTGCAGATCCGGGTCAGAGTGATTGCAGCTCGACAATTGCCTGGTAATAATATAAAGCCCGTTGTGAAAGTGTCTGTGTGCAACCAGACTCACCGAACAAGGATCCGAAGAGGAAACAATCCTCACTTTGACGAGGTACAGAGCAATTTCAACAGCCTATAGTAAAATGACCTAATATCTGTCGACTGCCAGCAATCTTGAGCAAATAACAATAATTTGGTCGCTCAATCCACGATCATTTGTGGGATACCGCTATGAGTGCTTTTTTTTGGAAAAATTATTTCATAACTTTAAACTGGAACCTTGGTTTCCTCCCTCTCCCAACCACACACACAAATGAGCCTGTGGTATTTAAGAATACCGGCTGGATATTTAATAATACAGTAATATCAAGAGTAATATCAAACTCCACTTAACTATAGAAAGGCTAGAGAAAATCTCAATTAAAGACTGCATGAAAGTACATCTGCACCAATTGCTCTCACCTCCACCTACGTTATTAACACTGACAAACTATACAGTCAATTCACTTTACTGTATATTCTGTGAAGCGCTTTGAGATATCTAGAAGACATGATAAGGCACTATATCAAATGCAAGGATTATTATTATTAATGTTCTATTGGTGTCATTGGTCTCTTGCCCGTGTTGTAGTACCAAAATCTTACTCGCCTCTATAAACTGATTTCAGATTTTCTTCTACAATGTAACTCAGTCACCAGCAGAGCTCTTTGACGATACAATCCAAATCAGGGTAAGTTATACTCAATACTACATTAAATTCAGCAAACTATAACTGTATATAACCTCTGACCAATATTCACATTTTTCAACCCGCAGGTGTACAATTCTTATTCACTACGTTCAGATTCCCAAATAGGAGAATTCAAGGTGTGTTGTCTTTCATTATCTCCCGCCACCCCACCAGCTAAGCGCTCCGGGACACTACCCCGCATGAAGGGTGCTGTATAAATGCAAGTTGTTGTTAATCTCAACCTTCCATCTGGTGTGACATGCACAACTACCAGTAGAGGGTGCTGAAGAAGGGCCAGGAGCAGAAAATCTGGCTGGTTTTATCCTCAACCTCGGCAAAGACAAGGCCAATTTAGTCTTCCTATGAAGCCATGGCTGAGACAAGCAAGTTCACCATAGAATCAAACCAGCGGAACTGTCCGTAAACTGCAGCTCTGACCATTACATCACTGCCGTTAACCCTGTGGCTTTCAGATACACAAATATTGGCTATTTGTGAACGGAGTTGGTCAAAAAAAAATGTGATGAAACCAAATGTTTTAGAAGCAACCAATTCTAAATTCTACATTTTTATTTCTTTCAGCTGGACATTGGCTATGTGTATGATGAGCCTGGTGGGTACTGCCCTTTGAACACTGACATTTTGACCTGCTCATTTTCTCTGCACAGCTTTTAGAAAATGTTTGGCCATAATACTGCGTGCAGACATGCAATGGCTTGCTTTAAATACACTCTGGTATCTGGCACTGAGCAATGTCAACTATTCAATGCGTGTACCTACCTGCAAGAACCATGTACTGGATGATCATGGCTCAAACTCTACTGCAACTCAATTTAACTTTGTTTTATTTTAAGGTTTAAAAGATATGTTTGGAACAGCTAGAACTTTGAGAGTCCCTTTTTTCCCCCTCTAAAATCAATGTCTTGAAATAATGCAGATTTTGCATTGTATTACGTTGAAGATTTGGTCTAAGAGATATAACTGGTTTTACCTTTCTATTTCTATTTCACCCTTGTGTTCTTGTTGCAGTGGTAAGATGATTTTGAAATGTGTATTGAGTATTTGGAGAATAGTGAAATTACTCGCACATCCGAGCATTAATATATCGAAAAGCCCTTCACACATCGGTAAGAATACTGAATTGATTCTGGATGTGCACCTCATCTTTATTTTATATCTTTATAGGACATGCTGTTATGAGAAAGTGGCTGCTGCTTCATGATCCAGAAGAAATAAGTAGTGGATCCAAGGGCTACCTGAAAGTCAGTTTATTTGTTCTGGCAACCGGAGATGAGGCCCCGGTAATATTTTTTTCCTTATGTTGTTTGTGGCCGAGTAAAAGACTCGGCACCAATTGCTTATGATGTCTTTGTTTTTTCGATAATGGTAGTAAATACGTATAAAACTCATGATCAGAATGTGCTATAATGCAAAAGACTTGGTAGGAATCTACAATGATGCAAGTGCATGAGATTTATAAGATTGAACAAAAGCAAAATTCAGTTTTTGTATCTTGGATAGATTCCACAGTGATCTTGTACATGGAATATTAATTTTAAACTGAACCAATCAAGTCCATTCATTGTTCATTCAGCTCTCTAGGATGGTGGAAAAGTGTTGTAAAATGCACTGTACTTGTTTTTTATTTCATAATGTAGTCACTACAAGCTGACAGCCTGCCTGTCAGATCTCAGCGGCTGGATGAGCGCAAACTTCCTTTAGCTGAACGTTGACAAGACGGAAGCCATACTCTTTGGCTCTCATCTCAAATCTCACGGCTCTCACCTCCACCTACCCGACCTCCCCTAAAACTCTCTGAACCCGTACGCAACCTAAGCGTCAGGTTCGACCCCCAATTATCCTTCCTCCCCCACATCCGGTCCCTCACCAGCACCGCCTTCTACAACCTCCGACGCATCACCTGTCTGCGCCAATACCTCTCCCCAAAAGCCGCTGAAACCCTTTGCCTTTGTCACTTCTCGGCTGGACTACTCTTAACGCCCTCCTCAACAGTCTCCCATCCACTACTATCTATAAAATCCAAATCATTCAAAACGCTGCTGCCCGCATTCTCACCCGCACGAAACTCCGTTCCCCGATCGCCCCAGTCCTTGCCAGACTGCACTGGTTGCCTATCCCAGAGAGGATCGATTTCAAGATCCTCACCCTTGTATTCAAGTCTCTGCACTCCTCTGTATCCCCCTACCTCTCTGACCTCTCTCCTCAAAACAGTACCCATTGCCTTCGTTCCTCCGGGTCTGGCCTCCTCCTCATCCCCCGAGTCATCCGCTCCACCCTCGGCGGCCGTGCCTTCAGCCACTATGCCCCGAGGCTCTAGAACTGCCTTCCTCACTCCCTTCGCCTCGCCCCCTCCCTTCCCATTTTCAGGTCACTGCCGAAGACCTTTCTTTTCAACCGCGCCTTTGGTCACCTCCCCCCCCCCCCCCCGGCTCGGTCCCAGGATTTGTTACTGTAAAGCGCACTGAGACGCCGTCCTGCGTGGAGGGCGCTATATAAATCCAAGTTGTTGTTGTTGTTGACAAGGGTAATTGGCTGAATTACTATTTGAAGCGGTAAAATTGGCACAACTGACTTGGAGAATGATAATGTGCCAAAAATAAGTGCCTCTTTTGGATGTTTAGGCTTGATATTAGCTGTTCTATGCTGTATGGCCTCTTGTAAATTTGGTAATGGAGTAGTGTTCTGTGTATGTGGTGAATAGGCTGAGAAAAAGGAACTTGATGAAGAGAATGACGATGTGGAAAGCAACCTGCTGCTACCAGCTGGCCTCACACTTCGATGGTTGACATTCATTTTGAAAATCTACAGAGCAGAAGATATTCCGCAGAGTAAGCCACATAATGAATGCTTTAGCATGAGTGGATCAAATGCAACTTGGGATGTGTTTTTGTGTGTGAAGTAGGGAAGACCTGCTCCATTGATTCATTTACCTTTTTATGTGGGGTGTTCAGAAAACATAACAAAAAAAATATTTCTAGCGCACTAGATCTGTGTGTGTTTCACAATTCTGCATAAATCACTGTTGACTGATGATGGGCTTCCCACTGCTGTGACCCAGATTGGAAATATTTGGGTAGGACAGGATTCATCTCCGCTCTAATGGTCTCTCCCATAGATAACATCTCAGGTTGACTTGTGAAAAATGGCCATGTGGAAGATGTATAGGGGCAGCAGTTTATGTGTAAAATGGGGTAGAGAGTGAAATTAGATGAAGAAACAGAAGTGGAAAAGACTATGAAGGATTTTCCAATTATAAGCAAGTGTACATTATATGGTGTTAAGAAGACATTACTGCATAATTGTTAAATATTCAAAAGCTTTGAGTTTTGTTAATCACTACTTATTGTGCACAAGTTATTTGTGGCACGCACAATGACCAAAGTTCTTGTGTTTTTCTTCAAGTGGATGATGCCTTTGCGCAAACTATTAAATCCATATTTGGAGCGGAGTCTGACAAGAAGAATCTAGTGGATCCATATGTAGAGGTTGGCTTTGCTGGAAAAAAGGTGAGAGCAATCTAAGCTTTCATGTGACATGTGATGGAATTTCAATTGATTTCACTCAGGTGTCCAGGTACTGTAACGATGGTTGTCCTGTGTTGTAGATCTGCACAAAGATAATAGAAAAAAATGCAAACCCTGAGTGGAACCAAGCTGTCAATCTTCAAATCAAGGTAAAACCACTTATTAAACTGGAATTTTTATTCCTTGTTTACCTTCAACAATTATAAAGGCGATAAACTGCCGTAGATTTTGGAGAGGGAAAGTTATTTTAAATTGGCCATCGTTTTACAAGGGAAGAAATGGGAGTCAATAAACAATATGTAAGAAATAGCCCTATACACAGTTAATGTAATCTTTGACTTTGAATAGACACAGCATTTAATTCCTAAGATCCCAGAGGGAAGAGCAGACATGGTATCAGCTTTGGATTTGCAACAAAAGGATCTGGTTTCAAATGGCACTGTGACCATGTCAAGGGCATAGATCAAATGAAAGTTTATGGTTTTCACTTCAGAGAAAATTCTAGAGCTTTTGTTTCCTGGTTAGGTATGATTAAATGAAGTTGTTCTTAAAATGACATTGATGATCCCTTCTTTGTAAAGGCTTCCTTGTTTCCCATGAAGTCAAAACCTGAATTTCACAAATCTTCAGTGACCTTGAGATTTTATAAATAAACTAAAGATATTTTAAACGAACAGTAGCTGTCTAATGACTTTTCTTCTACAGTTTCCTTCTATGTGTGAAAGAATTCGCCTGACTATATTTGATTGGTGAGTCCAAAGCATCTTTGTATTTTTAATCCAATTTTTCTTCCCTTAATGACCATTTCTCTTAATAGTCTTGAATTTGATATAATATCTGATCACATCATCAAAATGCCTTCCCAGGAATTTTACTTTAAAATCGACTACAAAGATTATATTTTAATAACCAAATGAAAATTCTGTTATGTTTTCCCCATGAATCCATACTGTTTTATCAGTGGAAATTAGAATAAATTGATACAATGTAACTGCATAATACAAAATTAGTCTTTGGTGAAAACTCCCTCCTTCGGGAGTCCTGTAGCTCAGTGGTTAGAGCACTCGACTTGCAAGTGAGAGACCTGGGTTCAATTCCCAGTACGGCGAAACCTTGGGCAAGTTTCCTTACTCCACACGCCTGGTAATAATCCCTCGAGAAAAAAAAGCAATAAAAATTGGTCACTTCAATCCACGACTGTTTGTGAGACACTGCTGTGCGCAATTGGCTGCCGCGTTTTGCCCACAAATATACAGTCAACTCACTTTACAGTATACTCTGTGTAAAAGTGCTATATCAAATGCAAGGATGATTATTATTTTTTTTAAAAATGTGTACTCAATACAAGAAAATAGCCCTATCCAGAATGTGCATGAATTTGTATTCTGTGACTCCTTGTGAAATGGCTGGACAATACAGCTAAGCTATCAATTGCATGAATCTTGAATTAATTATCTCTAAATTTGTAATGTTGTGCAAATGAAACCATGTACTGATCAGCGCCACATATGAGGTGCAGGATGACTTGAAAGTGATGTTTAGCGAGAGCAGTTACATGGGTTCTTTAGAAAATGAAGTTATAAATCTAGGTTGGCTATGAACTGTGTCATCTCTTTTGTTATGTTGAATGTGTATCTTGCAGGGATCGGATGACCAGAAACGATGCTATTGGGACAGCATTTATGTTCCTCTCTAAGATCGCCTCATCTGGTGGTGAGGTTGAAGGTTGGTGCTCTTCAATGGGGCTGTTTATAGATTCTAGTGCTATAATTTCATATTCTGGATAGTAGATGAGAGAAACTATATTTCTGTTCTAGATTTAAGATCAGGCACTCTAATGTGAAGTATCTGAACAACAGCCAGATTGTGCAACAAATGGTGTCCATGTGTCACTTTTCTGCAATTTGCATTGGAAAAGAACAGAAGTGTAACATGGACCAATTGTTGCATTTTCCATAATCCAGTTGCCTGGGTGTGGATTAGATGGCTTCCATCTCTCACATTTACAAACCGATTAATATGTCAAAAAGGTGTGTGGCTATTTTAGAACCATATCGCTGTATAGTATGCTAAATATTGTTGAGACACTGGTTTGTTGTTTTTCTTTCTTATGTAATGGTATACGATGTTCATTTATCCCAGTCATTGATTCCAAGTCAGTTTTAACAACAACAAATAATAACAAATTGCATTTATATTGACCTTTCACATCGGGAGGAAGTCCCAAGGCGCTGGACAATGAGGGTTTGCACCTGAGATGCGGGTTCGGATCATAGAGGGGCTGGAGGGCAAAGGGGGTGGAGAAGGGAAGATGACTGAAGGCAAGGTCGAAAAGGAAGGTCTTGAGATGGGTCTTGAAGGAGCAAGGGAAGAGGTGAGGTAGAGGGGCTCCGGGATGGAGTTCTGGAGGGTGGAGACAGAAAGGCTGAAGAGCCAACCGCCTTTAGTGAAGGACGTGGAACAGGCCAGTGCCTGCAGAGTGGAGGGGGTGGACAGGTTGGTGAAGTTTAACTAGGTTGCAGAGATAGGGAGGTGCATTCATGAAGATTGTCTGAAAAAGGGAAAACCAACAATAACTTGCATTTATATAGCGCCCTCCACGCAGGGTAGCGTCTCAGAGCACCTGCTGCCTATCCAATAGCCTATGCTGGAAATGTGTCCATGTTGAAATTGGTCGTGGGCAGGCTGGAGCTTTCTGTTCCTTTCCTCTCCCCCATCCGCTTCAATTAGCCAGTTGACATTTCATTATCCATGAACAATGGGTACTTATTGAGGCACTGAAAAGTGGCCAAGAAGTTTTATCATAGAGGAAGGAAGTGAAAAAGCCTCACAGAAAGGGAAGAGGAAATGATTAGCAAGCAAGGGGAGCTTTCTTTTGTGTTATTTGAAACATTTTTTTAAACTTGCTTTAATTTATATATTTTTACAGAAGGGGAACATTTTAATGAGAGAAAAATTGTGCAGAAGAATTTCTCATTTGAGGAAAATAGTTCATGAAACATTATAGCTGACCTTTAAACGCTGAACTATCTTAATTAAATACACATTTTACTTTCAAACAAACTGCTGGGTTATCAATAGCTAATTTAACCTGTTAACTTTGAGATTGCAGTATCTTCTTGTTGATGTTTAAAGGTTAGAGAAAGGAAAAGGCATGGAAAATGTGAATATGAACTGGGTCACATTGCCAACCTTACTCTAGCACCACCTAGCTTGCAGGATACATACAAATGTAGGTAATCTTTCTTTACTGGAGCATTCATACCATCTTTGACCAACAGGGTGATTCTGGACTTCTGCTGCTCCTCTACTAGGTGACTAGTAATAAAAGCCTTTATAACTGTCTGACCTGGATAACGCAATGATTTGGGTCCAGTTACAACTGGTCTCGTTATAAAATGGATGCAAAAAGGCTGGTCTGTCTGTCAGGTTGCTGCTAATATCACTTCCTGCGTGCATGGGCGCATCATGCAGAAAGCTGGCAATTGCTTGAGTATTTCCAGGGATTTCTGCGATACTGTTAGATGCTGGGAGGCCTACTGTGCCTATGCACTATGCGCCGAAAGCTAGCCAGCTGAAGCTGTCAGTGTACCGCACTGGTAAACCACACCGGAGGTCTTGGTAACCTCCACAATAAATTGACCCATGATCCATTCAAGTGTATTATAATGGGATCTAGCTGTATCTGTTTGTTTATATCTTTTGGGCAGATGTCAGAACTCCTGTTGTCCAACGCAAAATCTCAACAAAGTGGGAGTTGAACTTGGTGTTCCCCTGTACTTCACCATAAATTGTCCATTTCACTCATAAGCTATATTCTGAAGTACTTTATATGAAATATCTATAGGACTGATGTACAATACATGTTAATGATATTGTTTGCTTTGTGATTTCTTGTTCTAATGCTGATTTTTTTTCTACAATCCAGACACTGAGGGAAGTGGGTCTTCTGCAAATGAAGGTTTTATTTGTTGGTCTATAATTTTTCTATTTCTATTGCCCAAACTGGAAACTGGTGTGGGATGAAAGCGTCAATTTCCATAAACTTGAATCATTTCATGAGACAAATGGGGGAGTTTGATTTTGAATCTGTTGAATGTTTCAGACAGTTTTGGCAATAGATGAATTAGCTGTTTGGCTTTTCTTGAAGCTTAATTATTCTGAAATGCTAACTGCATTTTTTTCCCATGTAGGCCTACATGCACTAAATGGCAAATTTTAACTCTGAAAATGGATAAAATGTTTTATCCCAGTTTTGCTATTGAGCTTCCCAATAACATATCCAAACAGCCTTCACCTGCAAACCTAAGAACTGAGCGTTCAATTATGAGATGACAGCCATCCTGACTGACCTTGCCTCTCACCCAATTCTCTTTTGCATGCTTTCAACAAATGTTTGAGATCAGAATTGGGATTGCTGTCTGTGTAGACCTTTCCTCTTTACCGAGGAATATTATTTTGATTGTAAATGATTGTAAATGACTACGTTTGAGCAATTAACTTCCTGATCTATGTGGTTCACTATTACACCATGCATTCCAATTAACCAATGAACCATTATCGCACCCCTCCCAGCAACAATTTCCATGGCAAGCTTTTCCTGACTGAAACTACATGCAATTGTCTCAAATGCATTGGAACTATAGCCAAAGTGCACTATAGGCTTGCATGCTTCAGCTGAAAGCTGTACAGATTGCTTACAAGTGCTCTTTCAGTGTACTAATAGTTTTTTCATGGAGCAAAATATTAAGAGTTAGATACTGCCAATTATTATCAATTGTTTTCAAAATGTATTGAAACAGAAAACTAAATGTTGCACTGCATTTCTTAAAAACAATTCTATAGTTTAAATAAATACCGTGAAACGTTTAATTTTCTCTTTCTTTGGGTTCTATATCTTTGCATGTCTGAGAGCCTACAATTCCAGCCATATCTTGTGTTTGACTACATTTTTCTCATGGGTGGAAAGCTTTGAAATTAGTGGGTGACTCTATCCTCAGTTGTAATAGCTTTTCTTTCCCTGATGTTGCCATTCTGTTTTCTTAACCAATTGCCATTATGGCTTGTTCTTTTTTTTAGAATGCCTCCACCTCATTATCCTCCCCTTGTGTCCTTATGTGTTGCTCTATATCCTTGTGTGTAACCTTCCTACTCTATGATAACTTCACTTGATCCTTTCCATTCCCCACGATGCACTTTTCTTGATGGGATTCAGTGCACAAATGTATAATGCATGATTAATATCTGGTACTCCACAATGCTGGAGTCTGTGACTAAGGATGTGAGCCACAGGGTGTTTCCAGAATCAGCTGTGCTCATTTTCATTCAGGTTGACACAATAATTTCAAGTCTTGAGTTACTCCTAGATAATTGCTTGATGAAAATGATGTCCAAATAGTTAACTGACCAAGTCTTTATTTAAACCAATAGTCAACTTGTAACTTAAAAGTAGATATTATTGCTATCTGGGTAATGGTCTGGCTAACCAAATCGTAACCATTTCATTCAGTTGGGAGATGAAGTGTCTCCATATTTGCTGGCTGGATTCTGGGAAGCAGTGGTATTCAAAATTACCTTTCACATTTTCCCAGCTGCATACCTATACTTACAATTTCTCTTATCTACCATAACTACTGTGAACTTTTTTTTTAGTTTTTTTACTCCACATAACTAAACATTTCAAGAGGACTTTCTATGAATTTTAATTTTATCTCATCTTAAAATCTTGCACTGAATTTCGCTTTTGATTTTCAACATTAAACAAAACAAAGGTTATCTTACTCAGCAATCGGAACTAAATCTATTATGGCAAAACCTCTCTGGATAGAGAAATTAGAATGCTGGCAATGTGGAATGACTTGTAAATCTTTTTTAATGTATATGATTTATGTAAAAGGTGTCTAACTCTTGATGCTTCTCTTGTTTAACTTGATTTATGAGTATTAAGAGAGTCCTAACCTTATGTCTTGCTGCTTAAAAACACATTTTTACTTCAGGCATAGCCATTTTCTTTCTGATATACCTGGGGTTACGGTGACTTCAGGGGTTTGAGATTAATTCAATGGGGCTGTCACATTTTTCCTCTTGGGTCTTGTGACCTTCCAACATCTTCAGCTGCCAGATAATCTGGAAGTCATTGAATCCTCTAGTTTTACATCAGACATGACACTGATTGGGAGTGCTACTGGGTGATGGAGTAAAATGTCCTGTTTAGGTTTCTCCAGTTATTCCATGGTCCATTACCTCCTCTCCACCACCCAAACCTAACGTTACTGTACAATCTCTCTCCCTGATGGTCTTGACTGATAGTAAGGGCAAGAATACTGAAGTCGAACTGTGGAAATAATGGATACAATTAGCAGTAAAACCTCTGGCTTATTTCCAAACTAAACTGTGCCAAAAAGCATAAACTCTCCCACAAGGCTTCTAACTTACTATCTGCCTTTTCAGACCAATATTCACATTTTCAGTCGAGTGACAAAGAATTCTGACCTTTCCCTTTCCTTGGTTTTTTCTCCCCCATCAATGTGGTACTCTCATGTTTCTTCCCAGCAGAGAATAGAGTAAAATAAAATGTACCAATGCTAGACTCAGAAAGGATTTCTAGCCACACAGAGAATACTTGATTCATAGTACCTTTTATATTTCAGATTTTATAAACTGAAAACTTAGTTTTGTCTCACTCCATGTGATGAAGTAACCAACTGCTATAATTGCAAGTGCATAGTAATGCATTCTCAGCATGTTTCTGTGTAAACTAACCCGAGTCACCACTTTTTAGCAAATGCATTGTTTAAAAAATTAAACCCAGCCCTATATGATACTGAACAATTTTTTTTTTGCATCTTCACAAGCAAAAACAGGAGATGAAGAAGTAGGATTTCTTCCAGCTTTTGGACCTTGTTATGTAAATGTTTATGGAAGTCCCAGGGAATTCACAGGTTTTGCTGATCCTTACGAAGACTTGAACTATGGAAAGGTAACTAATTTCCAGGGGGATTTGAAAGCTGCTCCCCATTGTTCTTTCATTTCTTTTACATTAATTTAAAAAAAACATGCATTTTGCTCAAGGCAAAATATAACAATGCTGGATAAAGGAATGCCTTCCTAGTTTTAAGTACTCCTTGTACTAGCTTTGCAAGGTCAGATCAAGCCTATTTGTATACAGAGTACTTCCTTCTGCTCCAATTTCCTGCAGTATGACTCTTATTTTGTACATCACACAATCTGTGATTTACAAAATATTTCAAAAACCCGTATCCACTAGGAGCTGGGAACAAACTATCCATTCCTGTATTTCACATATTTCACATTGCAGAATACATTTTCTTATGCACAACTTAATTTTGACTACTCCGACATGACAAAGATTTGCAGTAAGATTTGTTAATGTTTAACCTTGTATTTAACAAATTCCTATTTTTTTCTGTCAGGGTGAGGGAATGTCATATCGTGGAAGATTATTGATTGAATTAATCACCAAACTTGATGAAGCTCCAGAGAATAAGTTAGAAGAAATACCTAGTGACGATGTTTTGGTTGCTCAGGTCAGTTGTCGGTTTGGCACAGCGCTTGTGAAAGATTCAGCAAACTCTAACCATTCCATGTGAAGCTGAGTTGTTTTTTGTCGGTTGAGTGTCTGACATATGCAATCCATCACCATCCTTAAGAATATTGAAACTAGGCTTAGTTTGTATTCATATATATTCCACAAACTATGGCTGAATTCCACGTGGACATTTCCATTCTCTCTCTGGAGGGATTTCCCATTGCTCACCTAATTCACAAGAGTGTAGGTGCAGGTTGTTGAGAGACCAAAGCTTGGTGCAAGATTACACGATGCTGACATTCTGTTGCTAAGTGTGTTACTTTGAAGCCAGTTTAGGCCCAAGGAGACCCTGAGATTAGGAAACCTTAGTCCTTCATTTCTACCCACTCCCCGCGAGGATAGGATAGTTGATCAATTTGGGGATTGAGACTTGGTATACAAGTACAAAGACTCTTTCTAATAAAATTACGTAATCTAATGTTTACAGCAATGTGCATTTTTACTCCCAGATCCATGATGCTGTTGCTCTTTCCTCTTGAATGGGAGTGAACAGATGACAGATTACCAATGCAGTAACCAATACCCATCGTAGGTTTTCTGAACCAATAAAAACTGTACATTGAAAAGTATTAAATGGTTGTCATCATACAAAATTAGTCAGATGAACTGGCTTTGTTCCAGTGCTGTATAGCTCAGAAGCAAGCTGAGGAAGGCACGTTACATTTTTGGTTTTAGATTATAATCTGAATCAACTATTATGTTGTAATTGGGTACACAGTAATTAGGGTTATGGTCTCTATTAAACTACATTTCTTGATGTTCTGGTGCTGCTTTTAAACTAAGCCTGTGTAACCAATAAACATAACAGTAAGGAAGATGATCAAGATCTTGTGCGATGGTTTTATAAATTATTACAATTTAGTGAAGCAAGCCAAAAAGAATGCACTTGAATTGGAAATGGTCAATTTGTAATCAGTAAATTTAGCACTCAATGATAATTCTTGCACTTGGTAGTGCCTTTCACATCAGGAGGACAACAACAACTTGCATTTATATGTGCCTCATACTTTGAAGATATCTCAAAGTGCCTTTCACATCAGGAGGGCATCTCAGAGTGCTTCATAATATTTACTGTAAAGTGTAGTGAGTGTATTTATGGCAGCAGAATAAAAATTCCCTTTTCATGTCAGTTTTAAATTGTACTTGGGGTTGACTGGAAATTTCTCTCCATTTGAGTGACCAAGTTGTCCTGTTAATCTTCAGAAATATCAACGGCGCCGCAAGTACAATCTCTGTGCTGTCTTTTACTCTGCCACAATGCAACAAGAAGTCGGTGATGCCATCCAGTTTGAAGTCAGCATTGGCAATTACGGCAACAAATTTGATAAGACTTGCCGGCCTTTAGCTTCTACAACTCAGTACAGTCGAGCAGTGTTTGATGGTAAGTCTCTGCACTTGGAATCCATGGTGAACCATTTCCCTTGTAATGTGCAAGAGCAACTTGTCACATGTTTATAGCTCCCAAAGGAGTATGTTTATATTCAATTGTCTCCTACTTTCTAGTATGAAATTTTTATCGGCCAGTATCTGATGAGCAGCAATGTAAAACTCTAGGTTTTATATATAACTTTGACGTACAAGTATATGTATTTTGTCGTTTGTTTTCAGTAACCAATGATGTAACCAAAAAAACCTTAAATTCTCACCCATGAGACAAATGAGCCAGTTATAAAAACTACTGTCACAAAAATTCATCTGGATCTAGATTTGCTCCATTTGTCATCATTGCACAGATGGCAGCACTCGCCTTTGTCAGAAGGTTATGGGTTGAAACTCCATGATGGGATTCTTGAGATCATAATTAGAGGCTAACATTCCTATGCATTGTCAGAGGTGCTGACCTTCATATGAGAGGTTAAAGGCAAGATCTGTACCTTTACCATCACTAAATGTTTCTTAAGTGGCTTCAACTGCTTGTTTTTGTGCCAGGCAACTACTATTATTTTCTACCATGGGCTGATTCAAAGCCTGTAATCACGCTGACCTCTTTCTGGGAAGACATTAGTCACAGGCTGGATTTTGTGAATATTCTCCGAAACATAATTGACAGATTGGTAAGTAACATATTTCATATTCTTCTTAATGGGTTAGAAGGTATTCCAAATGTTTTAGACATTATATACAAGTTAAATGCTATGCTATAAAAAGAATCTACCTTTATGTTTTGCAATTTCTGGATGGTATTAAAATGGTGCTATATTTTTATTCTGTACGATTTGTTTGGTTTCATTTCTGTTTTCCTAACTTAATCTCTGGTGGCAATGGATTTACTTAAAAATAAGTGTGTTGAAGTGTCTTTCAACAGGGAAATAGTGTATGTCCTCCCTAGCCACCAATATTCATTCACCCAGCGCCTTTCCATTTTCTATTTGATCAACGCAGGCCACTCAGATTAAAAGTTGGTTGTCAAAAACTGACACACTGGAACTGAAAGATTGTACTAGAGTGATTGAATAAAATAATTCTCATTTTCTTTTTTATTCAAGGAAAATAGCTTAACTATGCTGAAGACAGCCATTCAAGCCAAATGTAATGATCTACTGGTGGCTGAGATTTGGTTGAAACTTGTTGAGCAAGTCATAGAGGACTGCAGGTAAAAACTGACTGTCTAGCTTTGCGGCAAAAGTTGCGACTTTACGGTTTTCTAATCAGCCTTAGTGATGTACTCCACCTTGAGTCATGGGGACCTTCGTTTAAGTCATTGATTAAAATGTCATGGGTTTTATTATACTACTGCTTATTCCATCTTCACTACTTCAAATGAAATTCATTTCAGTTGTTTCATCAAAACGATGGCTTTTTGGTGCTGCAAAATCAATACTCAATTCCTCTGATTTCAGCTGTTTTCTACCGGACCTGCAAGGAAAGCCCAATGTGACATTGCTTGACTTTCAAATCCTGAACCTTCGTAAGAAGGCTATGGAAAGCATTATTCAATCAGCAAACTTTTTGAAGATGAACGCAGAAAATCCCAAAGAAACACTTGTTGATATTGAGGACTGGCTGGAGAGACTTAGATCAGTGGCTGAGGAGGTTGGTGGCATTAAAACACTCTTGGAATAAATAACAACTTTGAAGCTCCCCTCAAATAGCGTAGTGAACAAAGGCAGCATTCAGTGAAGCATTGGGTCACAGCACAGGAAGGGGACAGTTTTAAATGTGAGTTAACTGATTTTAGTAATTTAATGCACTATTGTTAGATTAGTCTGCACCTTTTGATTAGGGAGTGGAGACTCCTGCTGGAGAGTGGGTGTTAGTGAGAACAGGATTGAGCTCAATTGCGATCATTTTATGGAGGGTTGCACAAAAAAAACTCCCTTTCCAGGTTCCCAGACTTGAAAGAAACATAGAAGGGTGCCTGTTTAACATACCCCAGTGGAAGGGGGTATGGTTTAACATACCCTTTAGTGGACGGACAACACTTGTTTTGAGCAATCAGTTAGGTTAGGGAAGCGTTCCCTCCTGCAATGAGACTGAGAATGTAAACACCCTCCCAAATGATTTATGCTCAATTCTTTATGTATACATGTGTACATTAGTTTTGTGTGTGATTAGATTTCAGAAGAATATTGATCATTCTTGTTCTCTTCTAACAGCCACAAAACAGCATGCCAGATGTCATCATCTGGATGATCTGTGACGAGAAGCGAGTGGCATACGCTCGAATTCCGGCCCATGAGGTTCTCTACTCCTCTGCCAGTGACAAGGCATGTGGCAAATATTGTGGCAAGACACAGACCATCTTCTTGAAGGTGAAGTGAAAACTTTCAGTCTTAACAAGGACCCATTCCATATAGTACTGTTCAAAAAGAAGGACGGGGAACTTCCTCCTGGCACATCATTTTGTTTTATCTGAAAGCACTTGTAATGCTTTTTACAAGATCATGAGTATGGGTGAAGAGGAGCTTTTGGGCTATTTTATCATCTTTCTGGAGTACCCAGCTTGCTGTCTTCCCATTGTAGTATCGAGCTGCTTCTTAGAATCAGTGTCCAGGCTTTACCTGGTTACCTGTTCCAGTTATTGATAACCCTGCTATGTGAAGACCTGGTTCTTGGTGTTTGTCATAAGATGTCCTTCATAATCCTGATCATGTGTCCTCTTTTCCTGCTTTATTGTACCCGAGTTTATTGTGGGGTTTATTTTGCATGTTTAACTAAATCTGTAATGTAATTCCAATCCATGTAGCACATGTACCTCTTTTATTTCAACGTATATATTTATATTGAGTTTCATTTGCTAGTGGCCAGCCAAGACCCTCCTGCTCTGTCAGTATCATTCTCTTTTTTTATGCAGAATAGCATTTTTACAAACTCAGTCAATTTCAGCAATTGATCTACCACAAGGCAGTTTGACGATAAGAAAAGGCAATAATGAATATTTACCATGCTAATTCCTGATATTAAAATGTTGATTATTGCAAAATCGATACAGTTACTAAAAGACCTTATTTGTGATCGGCAAGCATCTTCAAGAGGACAATGTATTTGTTCAGGCTGTTCGTTCAGTACATTTTGTTCTAGCTTTTTAATTCTTCCTTTCCAAATGGCAGTGATGTGCTGAAGTAGTCTCTGGTACTTGTGCTCCAACAACATCCATTATTCGCTCTGCCATAGAATCATTGTTTCTTTTCAGATGAAAAGCTTGAGGAGCAGAATGCAGCACCACATACTCATTCATCAGATTTTTCTCTCTAATGTACTATTGACAGTTTAACACTGTTCTCTTTGCCTTCCAGTATGTCAAGGACAAGAGCAAAGGTGCCAAAATTCCGACACAGTTGCATGTCCGTATTTGGCTTGGACTCGCAGCACTCGAAAGCAAATTTAACAGCTTTGCCGAAGGGCGCTTCAGTGTCTTTGCTGAACTGGTAAATAAAATATTTGTTTTTAAGATTTGAACCTTTGCAAAATGTGTTTTGCATTGTAAAAAATTTAATAAAGACTACTGTACTATTATGGCATAAACTCTAAGTCTTTGTATCTAGGTTCTCCATGATTAGGGCATGAAAATCAAATCTGTTCATTACCAACACATAATTGATTCCTTTGCAGTATTTTTAAAATTATACTTTTAAGTGAAATAGTTTGCATTGCTAGGTGTAGTTCCTTTGACTGCCTTTTATTTTTTATTTTTGTTCACTCCTTGTTGTAAACAGTATGAAAACCAAGCTCAAGTTGGAAAGTGGGGCACCACAGGGTTGGTTGGTCGTCACAAGTTTTCTGATGTAACTGGCAAGATCAAACTCAAGAAGGAGAGCTTCCTGCCTCCAAAAGGCTGGGAATGGGAAGGAGACTGGATAGTGGATCCACAGACAAGGTCAGTCAATTATTTTTTTTTTTGAAAACATCAATCTCTTTTGCTTAAATATTTTTCAGAATTTTATCTCAATTGAGGAAAAAGTAATTAATCCATGTGGAAAAAAATGTAGACTGATGCTGTAAGCCACCTTTTCTGTGTGATATCTATTAACACTGGCACGATGGGCCAAATGGCCTCCTTCTGTGCTGTAATATTATATGGTTCTGACTATATGCATGCTTTTATCCTGCTTCTATTTTTCCATCAAAAGTGGTTATGTGGAGTCCTGTAGCTCAGTGGTTAGAGCACTCGCTTTGCAAGTGAGAGACCTGAGTTCAATTCCAGGCAGGTCAGGGCGAAACCTTGGGCAAGTTTCCTTACTCTACACAGAGCCTAATAATAGTCCCTCCAAAACCAAAAACAATAATAAATTGGTCATTTTCAATCTACGACTGTGTGTGGGACATTGCTGTGCGCAATTGGCTGCCGCGTTCGCCCACAGATGTACAGTCAATTCACTTTACAGTGTATTCTGTGAAGCGCTTTGGGATGTCCTCCTGACATGAAACGCGCTATATCAAATGCAAGGATTATTATTATATTATTATTATTATGGAATTCATTTACAATTTTGTTTTATCTGTTGTTAATGAATTGGCTGCAATTTTAGTGATTGCCAACTGGTGGCAGCACTGCACAGTGCAATGCTGCCTCCTTTGAGCTAATGTTGAGGTACTCTTAATAGCTTCATGTTTTTTCTGTTAAGCCATTCAAGGCCAAAAACCATCTATGAGCCATTCATTTTAATTGAGTTTTTTTAATTTTCTTTCCAAAACCTGATATTTTTGAAGTTCACATTTTTTTTGTTATTACCCTGTTAGAACCTCCCCCGACCCCAACATTTTTAAAAATAGTTTACACCTTTGCTAAAAGTTTTTCCAAAGGGTTAAACATTTCAGAATCCCCAAAGGGTTCAACGTTAAAATTGTGAAGAATTCATGGAACATTGAATCTAGTTCATGGGTATTAACTGTGAGGTCTCGACATGTTGAAATGCGTGTAACTATGGTTGGATTCCCAGCCAGATGATCTTGAACAAGACTGGAAAATTCCATTTGCAAGTAGCCAGGGGCTGAGTTTCTTTGAGCTGAGAACCAGCCACTCCCATCTCAGACCTTCCATGGCTTCTCTCTTTATAGTACTCCTTTGGTTTCTGGTAGCAACTTGCAAGCTTTTTGAAATCCGAAGCATTAAAGCAAGCTGTCTGTAGCCAGGCTGGAAATCTTCCTGTGGCTCTAGGAGTTTGTCATTTTTGTCCTCTCTCCCTACCTCCTTCTCCCATCGAGATAGCATACATTCAAGATAGCATAGCCTGTGTCTAAGAAGAGGAATCACTCAATGACTGTTGTACTCCACAATGCTCCCATCAGTAGCATTGACTCAGTGGAGAGAGCAGCACAAGCATATTCTAAGGTGAAGAAAGCTGTTTTTGGCCTAATGTGAGCGAAAAATGTTTGTCAAATGCTTGCATTCTCAAAAAGTGGTTATAAACCTCACCAGGGTCATCTTTGTGTTGCCAGTATGCTTACAGAAGCTGATGCTGGTCACACTGAATTTATTGACGAAGTTTATGAGAATGAATCGCGTTATCCTGGAACTGAGTGGAAGTTGCCTGAGGAGCCTTATGCAGATGTGGTGTGTATACTTACTCAGTGCTTACAGTAAGATCATCTCATTCAAGGGAAAACTGATGAATTCTGGTGTGGGTTCCTTTGTATGCAATCACCATCCAGACTAGTATTGGACTGGAAAATCCCTTCAAGCAATATTAAAACGTGTTAGAACAGTGTAGAATAAATGCATTCTCGTAACTTTAACAGCAAAAGTTTTTTTTGTTCTAATCCTTAGATGGAATACCTGCACCTTTTAACTAGAGGACTGTTGGATTAAAAGTTGGCCGTCTGTATATTTTCTGTGGGTACAGGGTGTTGTTCATGCTCTGCTGATCATGCAGGGCATATAGTGTAACTTTATAAGTTCACACTAAGCACACATTTTATGTTCCTGCTGTTAAAATGTAGTTGATGCTATATCACTCCATACAGCTTAATCTAGGGGCATGAGCTAGATCTCCATTGTTACAAGACTTGCTGATGCTGCACTTTGGTATTTGCCCAGCGGTCTGCGGTGTATTCAGGCAGAAATATTTTGTATTCTTCATGGATGTGGAACTCTGATTGGCCCTCACCTGAACTATTTCTTGTATTGGGTAAACAACTGAGAGTCAAGTTAAGCGCTGAGCTAGGTTGGGCATGTCTTGTTTTCTGCAAGCTGGCCGGTGTTGCAGGTTTAGTCAGTATGCGCAAGGCAGGTGTCTAGTCCTATATCTTCCAGGCTCTAAGATAATTAAGCTACTTTAAGCTTATTGGTGCCATCAAGTTTCACTAAAACTAGTATTCCTTAAACATTACCTTTTACCCTCTAACAGAATGGGGAAAAATCTGTGGCAAAAGAGGAGATTGAGTGTCCTCCAGGCTGGAAATGGATATCAAGATGGGAATATGATGTCAATCGAGCTGTTGATGAGCAAGGTGAATTTATTTTTTGTTTTAGGATTAATTAAGTTTTTAATTAAAGATGTGAGTCGGTAGGCATGAAGTCTTTGTTCCGCAGTGAATTTTTTTTTCAATATTCCAATCCTTTCCACTGCAATTGACTCCATGCAATCATGCCTAAAGAACACCTTGAACACGAAAAGACTATTTGTACAATTCCCTTGACAGTGTTTGGATAACACCCTATCATTATTCTGTCTGTCAATCTAATTTGCTCCTTATCCACGATCGTAGAAAAAAAGCAGAGATGGTTACTATCCCTATAAATGAGAATGGGTGTGGAAACAGAAGTAAAATGTTACCAGAGCTTGAGGTCACAACAGACAGGTCAAACTTTTGGACACAAGTGTCATTTTTAATTCTGTCCCCAGCTATCTGCTAAACTCTTTTGTGAACAATCATTCATTTGTTGTACCTGATTAATCCATCATTTCAATTATATTGGCTGTTTATATACCAGAGCTAATTGACTATTTGATTTTAGGTTGGGAGTATGGGATAAAAATACCCCCCGATGACTGTCCGAAATCCTGGGTTTCAACAGAGAAAATGTACCACACCCAGAAACGTAGGCGTTGGGTGAGAAGACGTAAGCGAGAGTCACAGCAAACTGCACTGGCCAAGGTAAATGTGTTCTGATTATTTGTATTAAATATACATTTGTCTAGTAGCACATTCATCAATTGAATTTAGGATCTCAAAAAATTATCCTCATCCAGCTATAAAGTTCCTCATCCAACTTTTTGCATGTCTGTGGCATCAGTTTTATTGGTTTGGGTTTGGCATGTTCTGTAAAATCATTGCAAATGCAGCTACTAATATGTGACATGGGGAGAGAAGGTGATGGCAAGCAGGAAACTAATCAAAAGAATAAGTCTAATCAGGTCTGAGTATTGCAAATTTTGCCGGCCACTAAATAATTCTTGAATTCTGTTTAACATTTTCAGAGTAAATCTGAGTCAGATAGTGAAGGATGGGAATATGCATCCCTGATTGGCTGGAACTTCCATTTGAAGCAACGAAGGTCAGACACTTTCAGGCGTAGGAGATGGAGACGACAAATGGCACCATCTGGACATCTTGGGGCTGCAGCAATTTTCAAACTGGAAGGTGCTCTTGTAAGTGAATCAGTAAGATTTTCCCCTAAAACCAAGAGAGTGATATCTTCTGAGCGTAGCTACACTTCACTTTGAATCAGAATTGACAGTGTTGTGTAAATATAGTTTGAGATAGAAAAACTGGTTTGTTTCAGAGTAAGGCTTATTAATTAAGCTCCAGGAGGTGGCTTCAATAGTCAGGTCTGACTGAAGCCAACACAGCCCAATTTTCTACTTACAATTATTTTGCATTTTGCTTGTTTGGACATTCTGTGAAATGAATGTTTAGCACCAGGATTGCACTTGTTGCTTTTTCGAAAATCAACTGGTTCAATGGTGTTCCATGTTTGGGGATCAGCAGAATAACTGCGGAATCTTTAACTTTAAGTTTCCTTTTGCATTGCACTTGTTTTTTGTTAAATTGCAAAACGTTATTCTACCATTTGCTACAGTTCAACTAGGAAATGGAATGTCCTAAAATATGAAAAATAGTGGGGTTTTTTTAGATTTCAGATGGTGGGGATGGTGATAAATCACCAAGTACGGAAAGTATGTTTGGAGCAAATACCCCCATGATTTCCTGCATATTTGACCGTAAGTACACCATTGTTTTCATTTTAGAATATAACTTGATTTTGTGTTTGGAGCCTCTTTGTATCAGCTACAGTTAGCTAGCTTGTTAAGGAGTGGGAACAATAGTGAACAGGACTGGATTATCTTTATGTACTTTGTATTGCATTTAATATTTAAAATGGCTATAGATGAATATTTGAGAAGTAAGGGTCGTGGGGATTAAACGATGTACCATGCTCTAATAAAATGGTTAACAGATTTGACTGGCTGAATGTCCTACTTATTTTGTGGTCCTGGTAGGCATTAAGTGGAACTTGTCTATCCTGATGGTTTGATTTTGATCTTAAATTTTGAATTGGGCAGTTATATAGAGTAATGTGTTGTCCAGAAAAAAGATGTGCTCCATGACATATTGTGCAAGATGTTGAATCCATAGTTCCAGTAATCGGATACAAGCCATTTTGATTATTGGTAACTTCCATGATTGATTACATTGTCATTACCTGAGATAGACATCAGTTCCTCTTTTGTGACATTAGCATATTGTTTCAGGACCCTCAATCTATCACCTACGCTGCTACATTTATCAAGCAAGAGGCGTAGTAGCTATGGACAAAGACAGCTTTTCAGGTATGTTTATTGATCTTCAACCTGTGATCAATTTCTAATTTATGATCATGGTCGGATAATAAAAATCTCAAATCATCATTTGAACTCTATTTTTCATGGGTCAGTTCAATTAAAAGTTTGAGTACTGGTCTATGGTGAGTTATCTGATTTCAGCAGTTCCCTTAGAGGCTCTATAATTGACCTCCACACCTTAAGATCGAAAGGAACATTTTTTAAGTCCATGTTTCCGTGTTCCCACTTCTGATTGCTTTCTAGAAATGCCTGCTGGATGCTGCTTGCATGTGGAAGCATCCTCAAAATCACCGAAACTGTGAACTCTTGCTATGCAGCCTTGCACATTAATTTCTTTAGGGAGGATGGGGGAGAAAGTGTGTGTTGGGAGGGGGGAAAGTGTGTGTTGGGAAATACATCTCTCTGCTCTGATGTGGTCTACCACAAAAGTTCCCAGGGGTTCAGTGGAATTCTAACTGGCTACTTTAAATGCTGCAAATTAGATCCTAATTTTTATGGAAGTGATTTTTTAAATGAGTTTATTCCTTCAAAAGAATTTGAAAGAGTTTAAGTGCTCTGAATTTGCGTCTCCAGACAGCTATTGAAAGCTGACCTGAAGGTGACCTAAATAGTAGCTTTTGGAACTGGGCTTGACATTGTAAAGGAAATAGCAATGTTCTTCAGGAGTTCCTTCTAAACGGATAAAGGCAACTTAAGGTCTGTCAAAGCTACCGACCTCAAAGGTTTCCACAATTTAGTGGATGTACAGCTACCCATAAATACCACCTAGCTTAGTTTCTTCTTGATTGCTTCATATGAAGTTTAAGTATTTATTGGGCTGCAGCTAGTCTGTATTGAAGTAGATGGGCAAAGTTATTTATGTGTGTGTTTCTCTTTTGTGAACTCAGTGCCTTAAGTATGTGATAGTAAATATTGGCGGTTAACAGCGAATAGTTGGTTGTACGTTTCCTGATGTGAGCTATGCAAAGTGTTTGAGAAAAGAGTGCAGGGAGAATTAGTCAGAATTGACTATGAACAATTGTATAGTAAACCTCAAGTCTTATCTTTATAAATCATATAAATGCCTAAGTCATACATTTACTGGAATCCCATTCAGTTTCCTATCAAAACCACATAGATATATTTGCATTACTCATATTATTCACCTCTTAACTCATAACGCCACCCCCTCTACCCTCTATTACTTCTGCACTTACTGCGGACCTCGAATTATGGGAAATTACATGCTTGCCTGTCGAAACATGGCACACTTGCTGGCTGGTTGCATTGAATCACAGGAAACATCTTTATCTGTTGACGAATGTGCAGAAGTCCTGTAGCCTTGTGGTTAGAGCTCTCGCCTCGCAAATGAGAGGACTTAGATTTCATTCCTGGGCAGGGCGAAACGTTGGGCAAGTTTCCTTACACACCTCTGTTTACCTAGCAGTAAGTAGGAACCCAGTTGTTAGTCGACCTGCGGATCGCTTTTCTGGGGGTAATAATTCCTTCAAAAAATAAATAAATAATATTTTGGTCACTCAATCCACAACTGTTTGCTGTGCACAATTGATTGCTGCGTTTCGTCAAGGAAATATACAGTCAATTCACTTTACAGTAGATTCTGTGAAGCGCTTTGAGACGTCTTATTATAATTTCCTACAAGTCAGTGAGATTCCAACCTTCGATGGTAAGTGCGTGTGCAGTGACAGGTGAAGACGCATTAAATCAGGGCAAATGTAGTCTTAATCAGTTACTGCATGTGCGCTTACCAGCTGCAATGGCAAAATACGTGTGAATTTGAAGCTACTGGAGATTTTCCAATCTTGATAACAATGCAATATAAAATCCAATGACCAATATTATAGGGTCATTAGTGTGGGCTAAGTAGTTCTGAGATGGATCATGGAGCATTATTGTTTTCAAGTGACTAGAAAGAAGTATTGTAGTTGCTGGCAGAATATTTTAAAATTTTGTTCCTGTTCCTAAACAAATTATTGAAGAATAATAATAATCCTTGCATTCGATATAGCGCCTCATCATTGAGACGTCTCAAAGCGCTTCACAGAATATACTGTAAAGTGTAGTGACGGTGTAGTGACTGTGGGTGAAATGGCAGCCAGTTGCAGTGTTCCACAAACTCTCATGGATTGAGTGACCATATTTTTAAAAAAAAATTATTTGGAGAATTAATCATTTGCAGTGAAATATTACATTGGTAGTTTTATGTTGCTATTAAAGATTATCCAAAGTGTTCATTAAAATGATTGTATTCATAAAGTGTTACAAAAAGATTGCACTCTTTATACTAATCAATATGTGTATATTTATTTAAATTTCTCTGAAATAAATACTAGTAAATTCTGACTTCCTGTACCTGGAAAATTCTAGCATATATCTTGATTATTGTTAATCTCGTGCATTCCTAAAATGAGAACAAAAGTCTTGTAAGATGGGAAATTCAGACAATGATGTCTTGAACTTTATATTAAAAAAATACAAATTCCCAGTATAAATATTAGTATCCGTGTGCTAATAGAGGGTGAGAATCTTTGCTATGAACCTATTCAAAGTAAAAACGCTATTGCTGGAATAAGGACTGACTAATGGAAAACAGAAAGTAAAATTGCGCATCTTGGGGCAGAAGCTTTTTTTGTCTTCCTGAAACTGTTGGAATAATTACCTGATAATAGACTGAAGTAAGTTCAGGCCATGAAGACCATTCCACCTGTAATCCCACGAATTGTGAGCTCATTCACATGAAGCAGGAGGGGAGGACTGGGGGCTGGGATATAACAAATCTTTCATAACCTTGTAAAACTGAAATTCTGTCACTTGATGCATTCTTTATTATTTTCGTTTAATATTTTAGCCACTACAGATGTTGGGACTTATTGGTGAATAGTTCCTGGGCATCCTTATGACCATTCTTATGTCTAGCATTACATTGCCACCATTCCAGTCCTCTTTGGCGTTCTAGATTTAAAATGTTTCTGAAAGTATCTAATGGAATTGATTGCATTTCACTGGACACCTCCTTAAATATTTCACAATTCAATATTATGTCATAACACTGATTTTGAATATGATCCTAGATAAGGTACAAACAAACCTGGAAAATTGTTTTTAAAAAGTGGAGGGAGAGCCTGATGTTTGAGAGTGATAGTCCTATAAACCAGTAAAATTATTTGAGTGCCTAATAATAATCTTTGCATTTGATATAGTGCCTTATCACATAATTGAGACATCTCAAAACGCTTCACAGATTATACTGTAAAGTGTACATTTTGCGGGTGAAGCACAGCAGCCAATTGCGCACAGCAATGTGCCACAAACGATCGTGGCTTGAGTGACCAAATTATTACACTTTTATTTTAAAGGAAATATTATCCCTAGAAAGCAATCCACCAATCGACTAACAAAATTGTCTTTAATCCAGCCTACAGGAACAAATGTACATTTGATTGTGAGAAATTAAATTAATCCATTTAGCTTTTAGACCAGATTCCCTATATGATGATGATTATGTGAGTTACACTATTTGTTCTGGCAATAAGGAATAAAATAATGGATTGGTTTTCCCTCACCCTTTCCACACCTTGTGAGTTTTTTCATGCTGCCTTTTTTTTTTACACACATTAAAACTTGCTGCCACTTGATTAGGTATTTTTCTTTTGCAGATCCATATGCTCATGTTTCATTTCTTCACCAAAGCAAGTCAACTGAGGTTCTCAAATCCACCTTGAACCCAACTTGGGACCAGTCCCTTATTTTCAATGATATTGATATATATGGAGACCCTCAAGATTTAGTTAGAAATCCACCAAATGTGATTATTGAAATATTCGACGAAGATCAAGTTGTAAGTTTTATGTGGTTTAATTAAGCTTTAATTTGCATACTTGTACCCTTTGGATTTATTAACTTGGAACTTGTTTTTATTTTGGACAGGGAAAAGATGAGTTCTTGGGCAGATGTGTCTGTCCTCCAATGGTGAAGCTGAACCCAAATGTTGATGAAACACCCAAACTTCTCTGGTACCCAATCAAGACTGGAGGCAAGAATATTGGGGAACTCCTGGTTTCTGCTGAACTAATGTTGAAAGATAAGGTAATATTTTAAAGCCTTTTGTTTAGTGAAATAAATTTGTGCCATTGTTTTTCCCCAGTAGTCAAACATGATGGACACGTGTTAGTGAGCTAGAAATTGTGATTTCATTTAAAAGATAAAATGAGTTACAACAGCAATGTTTATAATAATGGCAGCTTTTGTGTGTTTTTTAAAAACATATTTTTGTTTCCAACAGCCTGATGGGTCTAATTTGCCAATTCTTCCACCTGTTAGAGGTGCTAGTTTATACATGGTGCCACATGGCATCAGACCTGTTGTGCAGCTCACTGGAGTGGAGGTAAGGCTGATTTTTTTCCTGGCACCTTTGCTTGGTGATGACATTTGATCACTGAGGTGAACAGAATGAGTAATTTGTATTATCTTTTCCAGGTCTATGCTAACTTCTCTGAGCAGTTTATTTTGATTTCCTAATGTAGTATTATTGAAAATCGTATTTCTCTCTCTCTCTCTCTAGCTGTAGTGCAGATTATTTATATTTAAAGAATGTGCTCCTTTCTCCCAGATTCTGACATGGGGTTTACGAAACATGAAGAGTTACCAGCTGGCCTCAGTTTCTTCCCCAAGTCTCATTGTGGAGTGTGGTGGTGAATGTGTCGAATCTGCTGTGATCAAGAACCTTAAGAAAAATCCAAACTTCCCTTGCTCCGTTCTCTTCATGAAAGTGGTATGTGTTGATTACAAGAATATGGCTTTGAAAGGATACAGCAATCTGTTAATTTGTTCCCATTTTATTTTTAAATACCCGATGAATAAGTATAACAGTGTAGAATTGAGCCGTAAGAAATGGACATATCCCAGTATCGATCACTAGATAGGCTTGTTTGGGCTATTTTTAGTTAGGAATTTTTAGAATTGTACAGTGATAATCTCATATTTGTATTCTCAATTATTTTGTGGTTGTCACTCTCAGCAATTTAAAATTAATGGAATTTCACATGTTTAAAAAGTTTCTGAAATATTTGAGCACTGCACTGATACAATTTGTTCATACACACTTTGAGAAAGCAAATGTAATGTGTTGTTGTCATCATTGGTCTGCTCTCTGCAGAGAGTGGAAATGGGTTGCAAAAAATGAAATTCACTCGAGGAGTAAATGAACTAAGTCTCCGAGTGGAGAACCAGATAAAGTAACCTGATAGCACTTAACCCCATGATTTCTGTATGTTTCTAGCTTCTGCCAAAAGAAGAAATGTACGCACCTCCAATTATCATAAAGGTCATTGACCACAGACCGTTTGGACGTAAACCAGTGGTGGGGCAGTGCACAATTTATTCGCTGCAAAAATATCGGAGTGATCCATTTGCTCAAAAAGAAACTGTTGGAACCCAATCAAAAGGTATTGTACACTATTCCTCAAAGGCTTAAGGCTCATGATTCAAAATTATTTAAAATCATTACATTTGATAATGCACCTTATGTCATTAAAACATCTTTGAGCACTTTGTAGGCTTATACTGTAAAGTGTAGTGACTATTTTTAGGTGAATGTGTAGCCAATTTGTATGCAGTAATGTCCCACAAACGGCCATGAAGTAAATAACCAAATGTATCTAGGGGATTGTTGGCAAGGACACTGGAAGAAACTCCATGCTCTTTTGGAAAAGTGCCATGGGATCTTTAGTGCCTACCTGAATGGGCAGAAGGGGCCCTCCTTTTAATATCCCATCCAAAGAATGGCATCACCAACAATGCAGCACTCCCCCAGCCCCCCAGGCAATGTCAGCCTCGCCAGTAAGTTCAAAATCTTAACCAGGGACTTTAACCCACAATCTTTTGACTCTGACGAAAGTGCTACCAAGGCCAGGTTATCAAAGATAGACTAAAATCTGCTCTTAAGCAAACTCATTTGTTAAATAGTTTCATCACTCTTCATAGTTATTGGTCAGGCCAGCGTCCTCTCATGTTCATTGCACATAATGAATTTGGTCCTACAAGTTCAGGGTACTGGAGGTAAAGCCTTCATAACAGTTGCTTAATTTCTTGCAGCTTCTTTACTTTCAACTGCCCACGAATGTGTGATTGATATGGATGACCAAAAACCTCTCCTGGAAACTCAGGTAACGTATTCCATTATAATCACAGAACCTAAAGAGATATAGGATTGGGAAGAATTTGCATTTGGTATGTGACAAATGTCAAATCACTTACCACAAGTTTTCTCCCCATGGTAGTGTTGGTTTTAAAATACTGTCCATTTTCTAAAACTGTAAAAGAGAGAACCTCAATATTTTCTGAGCTGATTTGCTGAGGATTAAAAACTGCTTTATTTGAATAGAGCAGATGGTGTAATGACTATGTATTAAAAATAATGGGAAGTGGCAGGATGTGATTTGGTTAAACAGATGATCCGATCACCCCATCCTCGCCCGGCTTCACTGACTCCCCTTCTGAGTTTAAAATCCTTGTCCTCAGCTTTAAAGCCCTCCATGGTCTTGCTCCACTGTACCGCTGTGATCTCCTAAAACCCTGTCCACTCCCTCCGCTCAGCAGGTACTGGCCTGCTCCACATCCCACTATCAGAGGTTGGGCTTTTAGCCGTTTTGCAAACACCCTCTGGAACTCCTCCGGAGCCCCTTCGCCATTCCCACTCGCCTCCTTCAAGGCCCTTTTCAAGACCTTCCTCTTATCTTCCCACCACCCCCTTGCCCTTCAACCCTCTTGATTCCAGCCCACAGCTCGGGTGCAAACCCTTGACTGTCCAGCACCTTGAAACATCCTCCTGATATGAAAGGCACTATATAATGCAATTTGTTATTGTATGGATCCAGATTAATGTAGGTTCTAGCCTGAGCTTCGTTTGCTTTGTTTCAGTATACTTTGATTGCATAATGTATTTAATGACCATCCAGTGTATATCCTGCCAATACAGGCAGCTTACTAAACCTGTTATGTGAAAGCAAAGATCATCACAATGTAATCTACATTTTAAAGTTTTCAGTCTAGCTAGAATTTGAATGGCTTGGATGAGGAATGTGACTCTTCAAAGCTACCAGTGATGGAACTCATGCAATACCTTCTAACTTTCAGTTTGTAGACAGTATGACCAAAGCAGTCATCAAAATGGCTACTCCATCGACTCTGCATGTATGTATGTGAAGTGAATATATAGAAAAGATAACACTGGTTAAAAGTCTGAAAACTCAAATTTTTTCCATCACTTTGTGTGAAATTGTAGGAGTAACTACTATATCTGCTGCTTCCAGTATTTCTGCAAACATGCTCCCTGCCAACAGCTAGCACTCTTTCCTGGATATTAATATCCCTGAATAGCTTCATTTAGTGCCCAGCTGCATCTGTTTTCCAATTTCAGTTCTCTAACTGACCTAGGTAGAAACCACTTCTTAAATTGCATTTTTTTTGTACAACAGTTGGATTGACTTAAACTGCAATTGGGACTAGTTTTGTTTCTTTGGAAGTTTTTGCAAATAGCTGGGGAAGATCCATGCAGACCAATGGTAGAATAACTTTTTTTTGGTGGGTGCATTTCAGTGGGTGTAATTGAATGCTCGGCAAGACTGACTCTAAATGCCTTGCACTGTAATTCCAGGTGACTCTTTCTGGCTTTGAACTTGAACCCTAAATACAATCCCAGCACTTTGTTTTGTTATGGACACTTATTGCTTTCTCCTGTCCCTTATTTTGTACTGATTTAATCTCTTTAAGGCTTCTAGGGGTGGGTGGAGGGGGCAATGGCAAACAGGATTTCATCTTTTAAAAATGAAAACTGATCTTTGCCTACACTCTAAAACCCTTTGGTGCAATTTTTCAGGCAGCTAACCTGAGACATTTCTAACATTATATCCCCCAGCAGATCAAATTCAAATTCAGGATCCTCGTCCTCACTTTCAATTTCCCCCCTTTACACCATCAATTTACACCATCTGCTCTAGCCTTGCCCCAACCTATCTCTGCAATCCTACTATTGATGGTCCACCATCAATAGTAGGCAGGTTTTCAGCCAATCTGTCCCCTCTCTGGAACTTCATCTTGGAGTCCATCTCCACCTTGCCCCCTCCCTCTCCACCTTTAAGAGCCATCTTTTCAACTGCACTTTTGGTCACGTCTTCTCTCTTTTCCCCACCCACACCCAAACTCGGGCCCCTAGTCACCTTTGTGAAGTGCTTCGAGACGTTCTCCCAATGTGAAAGGCACTATATACATGAAGGCTATTAAAGTAATCCTTTTTAATTCATCATGTAAGTTGCAAATTAACATGCTTAAGAGTGTTTGGCTGCTAAGGGAACTTCAAGGAAAGCTAGCTGTTGGCAAGATTTAGCATACAGATTGCAATGGTAAGACTTTTTTAAGATTCAATATTTATATGCAAGCAAAGCAGTCATAGTCTGTTACTCTTTAACCTCACCTAAACCCAAACCTCATCTAATAACACAATCTCAAATTCCAATTAGACATTATCTCCTCTCCTGGTCTACACAGATTACATTTTAATTTTTTTGGAAAATAAGGTCCAACAAGGATCATCTTTAAACTATACAGCATTGTTAACAAATTCCTTATCTTTTCTTACTAAATAAATCAAAGACTGGGTCGTTGATATGAATGAATCTGCAAGAATGGCTGCCTATCGGTCTTCACAGGTATGTAGTATGAAACTGTTTCTATGCAGGGTGAACCATTGAGCCTTTGCATGCTGTTAATAATGCTGTATGGATTTAAAAAAAAAGTCTTTCAGTCAAGACTGTGTAGGCTGATAGGAAGCGAGTGTTTCTAAAGACACAGAGGAAATTTGAAACTTGAATTTTCATAGTCATAATTTGTCATAAATTGGATGATAATTTTGGTTTCATTCCCTGTCAGCAGCTTTAAAGTACACATTGCATGATCATTATATAAAGCTGCATTTGTTTTAAAATAAAGAGGATTTCCTTTGGAATTAAATAATTCTGGTACTAACATTAATTATTCATTACATACCTTCATAAAAATCAATTTTAAAAAAACGTACATGTAGTGGAAACAAAATTTCTGAAGCAAACCCATTACAATTTTTTGAATCTTACGTGTTGCCCGCATGAGGGTAAATAATGCTTTCAGCCCAGCCAGCATCCTGAAGAGGTATGTAATAAATAAAACTTGTTTGAACACTCTTCTCAGTGGGTATGGTGGGTGGGGTAGGGAGAAATCACAGCACTGAAAAATCTCTTCCTGCTGAAAACTAAAATGTCCATTTTAATCTTGCCTGGAAATGGTGCATTCTTCCAATTTTTCCAGGGGCATTTTACTGTTCTAGTCACTGACGTTTTCTCAACTTTTCTTTTCCTTTTATTGACCCCACTTTGAAACAATATCACGATGTCAACAGGCTGCAAAGGTAAGTAACTTAATTAGAATTATGGGTTTTATTTCAATCCAAAATGCAACTGGAGACAACATCTATCACTATCAATAATAATAATAATCCTTGCATTTGATATAGCGCTTTTCACGTCGGGAGGACGTCCCAAAGCGCTTCACAGAACACACTGTAAAGTGAATTGACTGTATATTTGTGGGCGAACGCGGCAGCCAATTGTGCACAGCAATGTCCCACAAACAGTCAGGGATTGAAAATGACCAATTTATTATTGTTTTGGGTTTTGGAGGGATTATTATTAGGTGTGTGGAGTAAGGAAACTTACCCAAGGTTTCGCCCTGCCTGGAATTGAACTCAGGTCTCTCGCTTGCAAAGCGAGTGCTTTAATCACTGAGCTACAGGACTCTATCAAGGATGACTCCATTGAGTCACAGTCTGGAGTTGGTATTTTATAGGTGTAAAGCTGATATTTTGGGATTGGGGTGAGCAAAATCTTAACTGAGGCATCCATAGTAGTATCATATAGACCTAGAAACATCTCAGGGATGAGATTTCAGGCTGCCGAGTTCTGGATCAGTAGAGGCTTCTGGAGAATGGCATTAAGGAGACTGATGAAGAGTATTGAAAATCTAACCTTGAAGTAAATGAAGCATGACTGAGTTGTAGCAGTAGTTGGTTGGGTAAGGCTGGAAACCAGTAATGTTTTGGAAGTGGACGGAGGTCTAGCCAACAAACTAGAGATGGGGTTTGAAATTTCACTTGGGATCAAGCAGAATGTCAAAGAGGCAGTGTCTGGTTCAGACTGAGTGAGCAACCAGGGAACTTGATGACTTTGAGGCAGGAGCACATGGGTGCTAGCGAGAACTATGCAAGGAGGACAAAATACTTTTCATTGAAGGACACTAGGGTTCACAATTTGTCACATCAAGTGGTGTTCAATATCGCTAAATAACAGGCTCAGTCATGCTCTTGTTCAATGTTCACCTAACTGGCATTGCTTATTGTGAAATTATGAATATTTAAGATTTGAATTATTAACTTTGCAAGATTAACTTTAGATTTGCAACACAGTAATCAATCTAGTCAACCAGGTCAAATGCCCAGTTGAGTCCTTCAATATATCTATCTTTAAATCTAATAACCCTGAATATCATAAATACTTAGAGGAGTGCTGTTTAAGGTTAGCTTTGCAGATTAATGTTGTAGATGTAGCAGATGGCAAATATAGTCCTAATGGATAAGTTGATACTTCCACCTTTTAAGCCTTCAACCCAGTCCTCGGTCAGATTTTCAAGGAACTATTTATTGTAGTCTCACTGCAATTCCTAGGATTAAATTGTGATTATTGCAACCTCACTTCACTGAGTCTCATAAATCCATACGATTTATGGAGTTTGATTTGATTCATGTCTATAAGCTTCCCTAAGTTTGAGTTGTCTGTCCCATAGGTGAATACTGTACATGACTACATTATACTTAAAGAGGTTGTGAATGTTCTATTTAGCAGGATGAATCAATTGACTGGTGGAGCAAGTTTTACGCCTCCATAGGGGAACTGGACCGATGTGGCGGTTATCTTCAGAAAGGCTATGATACTCTGAAGGTAGTGTTAGCATTTTACTGTTTGTTTTTTTAAACTCTTGTACTCCAGATTCTATTCCTTTTTTTTATTTGATGCATTTTACTTTTATGCCTATCTATTTCAATACGTGAATCAAAACTGTGCAAAACCTTCTCAGGTGCCTGGTGCAATAGCAACAATCTCATTTTTTGTGTGTTGCCTTTATTGTAACACTCTTATATTGATTCAAAATGTTATCCTGCATGCAAACACATTATTTGTGGCAGGTAGTTCAGAGAATTAAAGGGTTGCAACCCAAATGCAATGGAAAGAGAGAAAATTGAATTTATTTTCACTACGGTCAAGATTCAATTTACATATAACTTTCTGTTCTGGACAGTAATTATTGAGACATTTTAATGAAGTTTTTAGCATATGCATTATCGAAGCCGCTCAATTGTCGAGCAACCTCTTTTAAAACTCCTTTTGAATTAAACTTTGCCAAAGTTGAACCTCTTTTGCCATCTTTTTGTGGAAACCAGATGGTGCAGTTCTTCTAGTGCTCTGTAGATGGACCACTTGCAGTTTAAATGAAAACTGAATCAACCTGGAAAGTTCAACTTCAGGATTCACTTGCTGCTTATGTAAAACTATTCCAGTTCATTCTGAGAAAACTAATTTTGGTTACGAGTCCAACTATTTTTAGTTCAGATTTGCATGTGATATGATTTATGGAGTTTGATTTGATTCATGCAATTTTGAGTGAACCTGGATCATCTTTGAATAATTGGGTCAACCAATGGTTAATTCTATTGTCTGCATTGAAAAACTGATGGCAACTTGCTTAAAATTCTTGATTCATTCGATTGAGTATATTTTTGTAGTACGTTTCTTTTCGGTTTTTTCCTGAAGTTGCTGACTCTCCTGTTAAAATGCTGAATTAGTTTGATGAAATATTTGACCTGGGGCACTAGAGGATATCTATTATTTAATAAAGAAAACCTCACAGGGAACTGTATATATTATATATATATTATTTATATATATATTATATATACAAGACTCCCAACAAAAAACTACTTTTATTTATTCATGATTTCAAGAAATAATTGGTTAAATATCTACTTGATAGAACTGGAGAATATCAGGATGCTATCACCCAGGTTCTTCTGTTGCTACTTTTCCATTCAAATTGGATTCCGTATTTGTCTTCACTTGAAAACTAGAAAGTTAAACTTTTCATATTGCCTGTAGACATGTAACTGCCAACGCAATTAAGAGAAATGATTTTTTAAAACTGACATTGCCTGGATATTTTCAGATTACACCTGGCCCTCACTGTTACCAATAAACAGCCTCATGCCAAACTGCATCTAGATAAGATGACTTTTGCCTTCTAGACAAAAAGTGAAGTTGGCTAGTCGGTGACTAGCTGAAATACCTTATCTAGCTGTTGCATATGTTTCTTTGTCTTGATCACATTTTAACATCTCTCCAATAGGTGTATGATAAAGAACTGGAGAATGTTCCTGAATTTAAAGGATTGACCGATTTCTGCAACACTTTTCAACTGTTCAGAGGAAAGCAGGAGGATGATGAAGACCCATCAGTCGTGGGTGAATTTAAGGTGATTGACTGTTCTTTGTCATAAAGCTTAGTCAAACATATATCCTCTGTTTGACCTTTTTGCTCTATCCGGTTAGTTGGGCACGACCTCTTACTCCTTAGTTCTTTTGTACTGTTCAGGTAATTGATGAAATTGCTGTCACTCCCCTATTCCAAGGATGCACTTGACTACCAACTTCTAGGTTACCATTTTTTTAAGTGACGAAAGTCCAACGCTACATGTTCTAGGCTAACCCTTAGGAGTTCAGACAGACAAAATAATCTGCAAACGCAGCTGTATCTTGGGCCCAGTGGTGGTCTCTCCAACTTATGGAGAAGGAATTAAGCCTCTACTCAAACCCACACAAATCCTACTTAATAGATTATTTCCTTGTCTGCTATCAGTCACAAATTACTGTTAGCCCAGAGCAGTTTCAGAGTGCAGATGTTTTGCTCCAGTTCGCCCTGAAGAACTTGATCTTCCATACCTGACATTGCTGCCTCAACGCTTCAAGAAAGCATTTAGGTTGACTTTGGACTGTATCATTGCTTCGACAAAGAATCAAATCAAAGGTAATACATTTTAAGGAGACTGAGATATGCCCACAGCAGGTATCAGTTGTTGTCGTGTTATTTTTAGCCAGGCCATAGACAACCTGGAGTCACCAAAAGGGGAAAAGTTCTGTGGTCCAGTAATGGGTGGACGAACCCATTGAGTGATGAACTAGGAAAGCTCCTCTCATACATCTTATAGCAAAACCAGAGAACAATTGCAATATTAGCTGTACAGCAAGCTTTCGCCCAAGGCCACTGACCAGGCGAAATGCACCTTCCTGAATACTAATAGTGCCTTATGCTTATGCTAATTCCAGCCTAATGATGGGTCTATCTTACTGACTGCATATTTTTGCCCTCTCACTAATTTAATGCATTTGAACTTACGGAGCCTAAGTCACAAATAAATTTAGGTCTCCTACATCAGCAGATGATGCCAGAAGCAAGCTAGCTGCTCTGTAGTGGTCAGCCTGCAGCATGCCAATAATCGTTCACCTTGGTGAGCACAGCCTGTGCTGTTATCTCCTTATCTTTTTCAGGATGCAAATACTAAAATTTCAGTGCAAATTGTCCCTTTACAACTGCCTTTGTAGCCTGAAGATGTATGAGATGCATTTTCAGCCTATGTGTCATATTATTCTGTCATAAGAGAATACCAAAAGCCTAATGGAGCCCTAGGGGTGCGACCCAGGGTATTGCTTTACAACCGAGGAATGAGCAAGATATGGAAACTGTCATTTTTTGACCTGTATATCCAACAGAATGCAGAAAGGTCATCTTAACATGATACTGAACATGCCAAACCCCATGCAAGCAACACAAATTCCATCCTTCTCTATCAGATTGCTGGAGGGGTTGTGGCATTGCAATGCATTTTCTGATCTTCCCCCAATCCTGTTCCTTTGAGCCATCAACATTAGCACAAGGGTTATGGACCAGTACTTTACTAATTTCAGCCAGAACTACACGAGAGGGTTAGGTTGGCCCCAGCCTTCCTGGGGACAGAGAAGGGGAAAAATCAGTCGGCATTCCTGCTCTTTCTCCAGCACCTCTACCGGTTGTACAAAGTGTGTAGCAGCTGGGTGGGGAATAATAATAATAATCCTTGCATTTGATATAGCGCTTTTCACATCAGGAGGACGTCCCAAAGCGCTTCACAGAACACACTGTAAAGTGAATTGACTGTATATTTGTGGGCGAACGCAGCAGCCAATTGCACACAGCAGTGTCCCACAAACAGTCGTGGATTGAAAACGACCAATTTATTATTGTTTTTGGTTTTGGAGGGATTATTATTATTAGGCGTGTGGAGTAAGGAAACTTGCCCAAGGTTTCGCCCTGCCTGGAATTGAACTCAGGTCTCTCGCTTGCAAAGCGAGTGCTCTAACCACTGAGCTACAGGACTCCAGGAAGAGATCAGGCCTCAACAATCAATGGTTGAGTGTCCTGCCAACATTCACAGCTGGTATTCACACATTAACAGCGATCGTTTAGGTGACATAATGGAGGCAACCAGTGCTCATAAACCCACACCCCACCAACAGGCCACACCAGAGGTAGAGAAGCTAACAGCCTTGTTCAACGAGTGATGGTTAATTACATGGATGGATGTTGGATTAGTGAAGTCCAGAAAAACTAGTATATTAGCTTCTAAAAGACATTTGGATAAGTAATTGGAGGGAGAAATGTGTGATGTATAAAGGAAATGAGATTTTCATTGAACTTTAGAATTTGTCCTGTAGTCAGATCAATAAGATGTCCTAACCAGTAATATGTCTGTCAGGAGGTAAGTGAAAATAATTAATGATACAAAGGTGTGGCAAAATGTAATCCCTCCTGCTGAAGATGCTCCTCACAATTTAATGGCTTTTTAATTAAAAAAACAAATCTTTATCTTCCTCCTCTGGTTACTGGAAGCTTGTCTTTCTCTCAAACATCTTTGCTTTCTGTCCTATTAGCAATAAATGCCTAGGTATGCAATTTAAAGCTTTTACATCAAATATCCAGTCATATTGTTGATAGGAAATTCAATAACCTATTCAATAGTCTAAAATATGCATCATGTCATCTCACGGTTTGGAATGGGTATATCTGTATTCAAATGTTGATAACTAAATACATTTATTGGGTAAATTTTGGAACTAAAATGTATCCCCTTTACTTGAGGCCATGAGGAAGTGAATTTTCTGTTAGTTCAGAAATTTACACCTCACAGTTGATCAGAAATGATTAGTTTCAAAAGCAGTTTTGCACATTTGAGTGCTCTCATTTTCTAAAATAAAACAATCCTTAGACTCCTTTACTGCATTCATGACCATACATTGTATATCAGGAGCTGGACAGTGCTTCTGAAGAGCTTGGAGTTCATTGGAACCTCCAAATCTTCATCCTGTGTCTTATTTAAATGTTTGCTATTCACACTTTGACCATTTATGGACAACACATGCTTTTTCTTTCTCCTCCTTGCTCTTTCGCTTTTTTTGGGTCTTGGTTGTCCACTGGCAGTGAGGAAACTTCTTTTCTGGCTTGTGATGTTCCTACATAAATATAATAATAATCCTTGCTTCTGATATAAATCTTTACAGATGTCTCAAAGCGCTTCACAATCATAACAATAAATGTTTAAATTGCACAAAATGTGATCTGGTCTAATTTATGATTCAGCAAAAATTATTAGTCTTCTGATATGCCTGTGTATGTAATCTATTCAAAGTGCTTTGGTTAACTTTCAATTGCCCTTGCCTTCCAGGGTTCCTTCAAAATCTATCCTTTAAGTGATGACCCGAGTGTGGAGCAGCCTCCACGGCAGTTCTGTGAGTTGCCGGACAGCGTACCTCAGGAATGCATTGTGCGCATTTACATCATTCGAGCTATTGATTTGCAACCAAAAGATAACAATGGCAAGGTGAGAAACGTACCACTGATTTTTAGTTTTTCTTTCTCTAGAACTTCCAAAAACTCCCACATCTCCCGTTTGGGCGTGAAACCATGTATGGGAGCCTTGGTTCATTGTAAACCAGCAGTGACTGAATTGGTTGCTCAAAAAGCATGACTACCAATTGCCTGAAGTCCTATTGCTTCTTCCTGATTTTATGACCGCTTTGAGCAGCTGTTTTAACATCTTCTACCACTTAGGTGCAAAGTTCACATGTGGGCAACATTCCATCTCTGTATAGTGTTTAAGAGAATTGGTTAAATGCCTACTATGTTCCCCTTTCTGTTAGTAGGTGTGCCTGGCACAATTTTGCCAGCAGAAACCTAAAGTGCAAAGGTACTGAGAGCAACTCTGACCATATTAGCTGGTAATGGTGCGGGGGCCTTTTACAAATGGGATTGTTTTGAACTATAATATATATATATACTTTTTAAACTTTCATTTTCTTCCTTAGTGTGACCCATATGTGAAGATCAGCTTGGGCAAAAAAGTAATTGAGGACCGTGATAACTACATCCCTAATACACTGACCCCTCTGTTTGGCAGGTGATGATTTATTTTCTTTCATTACAGTCAATGATAAAGACTTAACTCAGTTTATGTTGGTTTTATTTCAGTTTTGGTAACTTGAATCTAAGGTAAGGCACTTTCTATGGTAGTGCTTCCAGGATTGTATATATTTTTAAAACGTCTTCTAAAACTGCAGTATGCCTCAGAGTTAGTGTGAAAATGCAGTGTGCTGCAATTAATACAGAACTGCGAGTTTAAAGTATTTGCTTTTTTTTATTCTGCTTATTAATTATTCCCAAAGGTGGAGCATGCAATAGTTGGTATAGTTAATTTATTTATCCTGGTATGGGGTTAGGCAGGGGGAGAATTCAACCTGTTTTTCCCTCTGCTAATACCTATGTAGAGTACTGCTGCAAATTTACAGTTAGACCCTATTATAATGCAGTAGTTTAGTTCCATAAAATTTGACCCCACATTGTAACTCGCCGTGCTATAAAAACAGTTGCCTCTGGTCACTTCTGTATGCACAGGTGGTGCCACTAATGTCACTTTCTGCATGCACACTGTTGTACAGGACGCACTGCTGACATTATTTGGACTAGGAAGGCCATTCACGGCCTTGCTCCCTCCTACCTCTCCAACCTACTATCCCCCTACCTACCTGTCCGTACCCTCCGTTCCTCTGGCTCCGGTCTGCTCCACGTCCCCCGCCCCAACCGCCCTACCATCGGTGGTCGGGCCTTCAGCCTCTCAGCCCCGAGGCTCTGGAACTCCATCCCCCAGTGCCTTCGCCTTGCTTCCTCCCTTTCCTCCTTCAAGGCCGGTCTCAAAACCTTTCTCTTTGACCGAGCCTTCAGCTCCCCTCTCGACTCTCTTCCCCCTCCTCGCTCCCTCCCTTCCTTCCCCTCACCCTGACCATTTCCCCCTCCTCGCTCCCTCCCTTCCCTCACCCTGACCATATCCCCCCTGCTCGGGTCATGACCCAACTGTGCAGCGCCTTGGGACGTCCTCCTGACGTGAAAGGCGCTTTATAAATGGAATCTTGTTGTTGTTGTTGTTGTAGGAATGTTCCATGTGAGAACACATAAGATAACCCATGCTATTGCAGGAAACATTTTATAGCCATATCTGACTTTGTGAACAATAGGTGAGCACAGGATTAGGCTTTGCTGTGATGCTTTTCTTTCTCTTCCATTCTGCCCCCACCACACCTCTCCCAAACTAGACAACAATGCAGCATATCATTTGACTATATGAGAAATCTACTGGGCTGACTGATCTTGAATCTGCTGGAGAAAAAATGAATGACTTTCTAAACCTATTTTAAAGAGACTATGAACCAGTTACTTGGCACATTTTGTTGTTATGATTGCTTATTTTTTAGACTTCACCTCCATCTCTTAAAAACAAATCCACTGCCAAAGCCAGCAACTGGATTGAAAGATAATGCTATAAGTGCTGACATTTTATTTGTGTGTATAGAACCTCTGTGTAAGACTGTTGATAACTATAAAAACTCTGGAATACCACAATGTTCTCAATCCTTCTCTGAGCCTATTTCAAGATGTATGAATTTTGTGCAACAAACTACACTCATGCCTTCATATATAGCCATGTTTGTTTTAATGTAAGCCCTGTAAACTTACTTTTAATCTTCTTGTAAGCTTTGGTAAAGTATTTGTGTTAAAGGTTTTTACAATAAAGTGAAGTAACCTCTCCTTCCTCATTGCTCTCTTTCCTTAGGATGTTTGAACTTACTTGCATCTTGCCTACAGAGAAGGATCTCAAAATTGCACTTTATGACTTTGACTTGATGACTCGCGATGAAAAAGTGGGTGAAACAGTTATTGACTTGGAAAACAGGCTCTTATCCCGCTTTGCATCTTATTGCGGATTACCTCAATCATACTGCATGTAAGTTGAGATTTAACAACCAATTCTATCTGCTTCAAAGTTTTTTTTAAAAACGGGCTGAAATCTGGATTTGACTAAAACATGACCTGTTTATTAAAACACAAGATCTACTGAAATGATCTTGTTAAGGCTTATGTATTTGAGAATTTCACCATCAATACCTCTTTCCAAGAAAATGTAATTCCAGTCGACAGATTTTTTCTGATTCTCTATGACGAGGTATTGGAAAAAATGAACATTCAGCCTAATCCGTTGCCCATATAAGGAATTTCACGTTCATCTTAACACCAAAAATATTGAGATAAGATGGAAATCCTGTTTCACCAGGTGAATTGTGGTTTGTTTTTGTGTGCACATCTGCTTGTTTCCTCTGCTAATGAGTGAGATGAAATTTATTGTAGCTAAACACCACCTGACATTTTATATGCCAATTTGAATTTGTCCAGCTTCTATTCATTTATTGCTCTAAATCTCCTTTGCACTACTTCTGTATTTTTGATAAAAGCAGCCTTCTCAATTGTTCATGAATGGTATAAGCATCAGGCAATGTAGGACTGGGCCCTGACGAATTGTCCCTCAGAACAGAGCCTTTACTAATGAAACCCAACCAGTGAGTGAAACTGAGTGCTTTTGAAAAATGTTGAATTGTCTTCATGATGCTATAAAATTATTCTTCATTGTGAACATTCGGACAAATGAAGAACTCATGTTTAATTGCCAGTTGCAAAGATCTATGCACATTTACCTCCTTGTATGTAAATGTTATTTTGTAGATGTCTACTCTGTTTGCTTAGCAAGCATTGAAGCTGTCAAGATGAGAATAAAATACTTTCATTTGTTGCTGCATCAAACACTGCCAGATTATATATGAGTAGATGGAGAATAATGCTCCTATTAATGTAACAAACATTTGGACCTTACTTCCAGAGCACAATGTACTGTATCACTGTGACATTTCAATTTTCCATGCCAGCGTCCTTATAGGTAATGAGTGAAAATGAGTGCCAACTGTCAGCAAATTTATAATTCTGGACAGCTTTTGGCTTTGGACACTTTGAGCACTGGGAACTGGCTTGCGAATTATGAACTCATTTCAGCAAAGATCCTCTTTCATCGAAAGACTGGGAAACTCATTTTGCATCTGGGACCCAAATCCAGCTCAGACAGTGTCAGCCAATGTATCATCCAGTCTTTTTTTTAAACTTTTCTATAACTTAATCCTTTTTATTAAAGACTTGACCAATTTTTTTCATGAGTATGCTTAATGTATTGATTACCTTTCTTATATTTTACACAGGTCTGGGGTAAATACATGGCGGGATCAACTGAAACCTTCCCAGCTGTTACAGAATTTAGCCAAAATGAGGGGTGTTTCTCCACCGGTTGTGTCTGATAACGGAAAGAAGCTTCAATACAATGGTCAGGAGTACACATTAAGTGAATTTGGTGAGTACTTTAGAATACACTAAAACCCTGGCTGGCAAGGTGGGTGGGGGGCATTTACAGCTAGGTGTAATTACAATGCTAGTAACGGCATTTACCGGTTTTCTTTACTGTACCGACATTGGAATTGTTTGAACCCTGTGAGCAAAAGATAGCGAATAAGCTATCTTTTCACAAGTTTCAAACTGAGTGAGTCTATCCCTGGCCACTGCAGGCTCGCAAGCATGGTGAGGTAGGGCAGAAATCCTCACGTGGGTCTGGAAATTTTGAAAAAATAATAATTTGGTTTGGAGCCCGGGCCGAATTCAGGAAACCTGGAGACCTGGGTTTATTGCATTGAAATTGAGGTTCAAATTGCATAAAGCTTCCAAAGAAATCATTAATCTGCCAGAAAAGGAAACATTTGGCTTATACCATGAGCTGTAAGTTTAGGTCCTTTTAAATGTGAAGTTAAAATAAATACTTTGTCTTGTTTTAAGTAGAGAAAACTTACAATTAGTAACAGTTACTGTTTTGTCATTTGCCCTGTATCTTACAAATCCACAGTAATGCTGTATTTATTTTCAAAGCTGTTTCAGAATTGCACAATTACAATTCCATGAATGGACCTGATTTGATAGTTTTAAGAATTGATGCTTTATTATTCAATCCATTGGATCAATATCATTGCAAATCTATGCTAAAGTATCCTCTCAAAGTTCCTGGCAGTTATTTCCCATCCATGTCTAGTATTTCAAGTGTGGTCTGATCAGTCTCTGTTCGAAAAATGACTGCAGAATAACTTTCAGAATCTTGAACTATGCTTTCTGGCTATATGTTGTAGCGTTCTGATAGCCTTTATAATTGTTCTGCTAATGTCAATTCAACTCCTTACACCATCAAATTCAGGAACTCTTTCCAGCCAGGTCCTCCAATGAGTCTATCAGGATCCACAGCTTAAACATATCCTAAAGTGAGCAATACAACTTTTGTGAACCATCAGAAAAGGGAGTGAGGGACAGGAGTGAAGAGAAAATGTGAAACTGTTCAAAAGGGGAAATGCTAATGTTTTTAATTACGTTCTGACAAATAGTGAATGCACTTGTCAGTCGCAATGTAACACCAGGGCACAATTTGCACGGGATACAAGGCACAGAGTCTGGTTTTCAGTGATGTAACTGCTATTACATTTGTTCGATAAATATAAAAAAAATCACTATAGTGAAATTTGTCCCCACACGGTAATAAAATGCTGCATTAATATGGTACTGACAGAGCGAGTATTATTGCAGCTATTTTTCAGCCTGCTCAATTCTCCCAAAATTTGGACGAGATGGAGTGTTGCCTTAAATGCTCAAGGAATAAGCATTCTATTGAGTGCCACAATTAATCCTTGATCTATCGACTGAAAGGTGCAGTTCATTCTTTTTAAGGATACAACTGTAAAGGCTATAGATGTCCACACATGGTAATCGTAGCATAACTACCCAAAAATTCCCAGTTCCAAAGGCACAAGGTCGTGACCTGTAGATAAAATGGGTGAAACCTAATTACGATGTCTTTGTTTATCAAGTAGCCCAGTTAAGCTGAATAGGAAGCCTGGCTCGGTTTCTGGGAATCTTCTGGCAAATTCCTATTTTTGCCCCTCCCCCTCCCCCCCACCTCAGACAAGCTGATCACTTAAGCACTTAAGTCACCAATGAAATGCTATCTCCATTCAAAATAAGGACTTGTTTGTGTCGGGGGAGGAAAGAGAGAAAGAAAGGGATCGCTCATATCTGGCAAGTGCTACCACCAGTACCAGTGATATTCAGTGCCATTACCTTTTATGGTTTAAGTAGGCAGGCACCAGTACAGATTGGAATAGGATTTGAGACTGCAGAAAATAAAAACATGTCAGTGAACTATAATTTACCGGCTGCTGCTCTAAGTGAACTCTTGCTCGCTGGGTGACCTGATGTTATCTTGCTGCCTTCGCACTCTGTCAGAGTTGCTTCTGGTTGTAATTAGACCATTGGAAGGGTATCAATGTAATGTAGCACAAATTGTTTGCTTGGCAGTGATGTTAGTGGTTGTGCTGAATGGCTGTCCAGCCTGTGCAGTAGATTGACAGGTGCAGTGAAATTGGGCTGCTTTAGCCATGACCGTACTAGTTGTGTTTTTACTGCAGGTGTAGATGTAATTAATGCAATAGATCAGATGAAAAGTGAAATAATCGCAGGAAGCTGAACAGAGTCCAGCAGTTCTGACCTGTAGTAGAAGAGAAGACTTTAAATGAATCTTGCCTGTGTGTACAGGTTTTCAATTTTAGCCTTGAAGGGCATTTATAAAATGCAATGTATAGTATGAAAAAGATTCTATGTTGTAAGTATTTTCTAGGTTCAAATTTAAGTCACATCTGGAATTTATTTGTATATATGTATTGGTGCAGTGAACCAATGGATTGTCAATCTATTGAGTTAACGGTATAGTCCACCTATTTTAATTTCAGCTTAATAGCATTGTGCTAATTGCCCCAGCAGACTAAGTTCAAGATCTTCCTCCTCACATTTAAATCCCTTCACGGACTCGCCCCACTCTGCAACTTCTTCCAATCACACTGTTTCCATATCCCCTGCCCTAACCATCACAGGCATTCTGCCCCCACTCTCTTCAACTCTATTGTGAAGTCCCTCTTCCTCCCTCCACCTCTTTCAAGGCATGACTCAAATTTTGCTGAAGAGAAAAGTGCCTTGCTAAAATGTACGGTATATTATACTCAATTTCCCAATGATATGCTTGGCTGGCTTTGAAATCACGTGGTTGACAAATTTCCTAGAAATAGGCTATAATCCTTTCAAGGGAATTCCCTATATCCTCCTCCTGGGAAGGATTATTTTATTCATTTTCATCTGCAATTTTGCTTCCCTTCTCAACCTCTTGCTTCTCCTCCTCTATTTCCCCCCCTCCACACACCCCCACCAAAGGCAGGCTCATGCTGCAGCAACTATGTGTGATGCCCTATGGTACCTCGTCTGAGTTGCCATGATTAATGCGTTGTTCTGGAGATGGAAGTATTCAAAAGGCTTTGGATCAAGATTGTCCCCATCAGATACCTGCAGACATGCACATGTTTCCAGCGGGGCATACAGCCAGTGATGAGAGAGAGAGAGAACCACGGCAGTTTGATTCTATTATCTTTTTTTTCTTGCCCCCGCTAAGCCAGGGTCAATTTGCAGCTCCCCACTGCTTATTCAGCTGAGATCAGTTAATTCAATACAGACCGAAGATCTTCTTCACAATCCGCTGGATCTCCATGACTCAATTTCTTACTTGCTGGTGGCTATTGATTAAACCATCAGTGGAGTCATTTCATCAGTTCTTTAAGGAACTAAATGAGCATTTAGAATTTAATGTTCAACTTAAGAAAAATGCATTAAAACTGCTAAAGGTCTTTGGCAGTCATGGCATCAAATTGGGAAATTTTGCTGTATCAATTTCTCTACATAATTAGCTACTACTGTTTCTATTGTGTAGAGTATGGTAATGATTGAACTAAAATGATGTACGTATTCAATAAGGCACGTTCAAGCAACTTTGCCGGGGGAGGGAGCAATGAAGGTCTAAATTTATACTTTTAACCTGAACAAAACTCAATTTGCCTTCAGGAGATATTTTTCTTTCCATATTGTACCCAATATAGACAATAACAGATGTTCAAACAGATATTTTATAATTACAGTTGCTGCTTATCAGATTGACTGGGTTAATGTGTCCCAGTCCTAAGGAAGTTAGATTTACAGTGAGCACAATTGTAAAGTGCTGCATGGTGGTTTTATTTCCTCATTGATGCTGTCGGTTGAGGACATTCAGATGTTCCTTTGATGGCCTGTTGGGCAGCCACTGCCCCCAGTTTAGCACAGACTCGTATATACCAGAGGGCATAGTATGATTGCCAGACTGCACTTTGTTAGCTGATCTCAACCAGGGCAACATTTTGGGTATGTTGATTCCTCTTAGTATTCCTCATTTATGGAGAGGGAAAATTGACCAAGATTCTTGCTTTAATCGATATCTAGTGACCCCCCCATCCCCATTACCGGAATGTGCAAAATTGCATACAAGGGACTATAGGATATGATTGTAATGCCTTCTAAAACAGAATAACCTGCTGGTGCTTTGTCCAGACCTCCCTCTGAAAGAAGTACAAGAGGACACCCAGTATCTGGAGTCTTCAAGAGCAATTTAAGAAAGTTAGCAAAATATATTCAGAGAGCTAAGAAATACATTTGTGTATCTGACTGGAAGCGAGAGAGGGTTCACAAATGTGCATGGCTTTTTCATTTGTAAAAGTAGCATCCTTCTTGGCATGAATAATCCCGTTTTGTATTCGGATGGGAAAAAGATAGCAGGAGAATTCACCCATAGCATAAAATTCTAATTGGTTTATTCCAATTTATTTGCAATCTTGCATACTATTCAAGCACACTATAAGCCTCGATGATTACACTATTCAGCTGTAATGTGGAAATTGTTCTGAACCAGAAAGTCAATAAATGACCTATTTTTGCTCACTATATTTGAAGCAATCTTGGGATTAATTTGTCAAGTAAATGGGAACCTCTCAGAAATTGTAGCATTTGAGTACTCAGCTAAAACGCAGGTAATGTGATGCAGCTAGTAAGATGAAACAGGATATCAATCTGTTTTCAGTGTCTTAGTGGTATGGCTAATGTTGCTATCTCAAAAGCTAAAGAAATTAGCTGCTAAACCTAAAAGCTGCTAAATTTGTAGCTCATTGTTGGCCAATAAGATTATTTAGATCAAACTGCAGATTGCTTAGTATTTGGTGTTGCATTTACTGTGACATTTAATGTAACACAACTGGAATCTTTGATACCTTGGGATCCGTAATAAATAGGGTTAATGCGATCTCCATGTGAATTGCTGCACATGTATGCTCACTACATATGTGTGCCTGGTCTGCTCCTTTACACTTCATCATACGGCACATGTTGATTGATTGCTATCAGTGGGGTCTTCAT